GAAGGTCGGACGTAAGGATCACGAGGTAAAAGCCCGGAAAGAAATCTTACGTGGCAAGGATGTCCTAAAACCTCGCGAGGAGAAGTCGGAACGGCGAAAATCGCACAACCCCGCACCTCGGAAAACTTTCTCCGCGCCAGCGCACAACTCCAAGGCCTCGGATGACTTAGGTGTCACCAAGGACGAAATGGAGAAGTGGCAAAAGGAAGGAAAGTGTTTCCGTTGTGGTAGAGATAACCACTTCGCAAAAGATTGCGTAGCGACGAGTAAGGTCAGGTTAACCGACCTGAAGAGGAAACGGTATCCTTCCGGAGGAAAGGACCACGGAAGGGAGGGTGAAAAGAAGCGGAAATTGGGCCCCCAGAATGAGGCATTTAGGGCAAGGATTACAACTTTGGAGGATCAAAATTGATTGGGTATTTCTATTTTTCGGTGTTTTATACTGCGTTACGGTTTCTTTCTTTTGGTTATTTGAAACAAGGTTTTTATGTATTACGGTTATTCTTATCGGTTGGCTACGGGATTTTTTGCTACACGCGCGGAAATTCAATTCTCTTTACAGACACTCTGAGGATGGGGTTACACCCCGAAACGCCTGGTGCGTAAGTGTTGTACCATGATCTTCATCAAACACTCGAACTCTCTATATAAACCCCCTCACCCCGCGCTCAACGAAGAAAAAATCATCGAAACTCACACCCAAAAACCAATACAAACCTTTTACCAAACCAACATACAAACATGTCTTCCAACACACAAGAAACCCGCCTCGAGATCGAGATCTCTTGGGATCACCCCGCAACTAGTACCAAACATGTCGCAACAGTCAACGCACTCTTGGACAGTGGCACAGAAGACTGGATCATGTCTTGGGACTGTATCCACCGCGCGAAAATACCCACCCAACCTCGACCAAAGCCTCTCATCATCAGACAGGCCGATGGCACCCCTATGCCCAATTCCGGCACCCACATCACTCAACCCCTTACCCTCCGCATCGGCAACCATCTAGACAGGGCTATCACCTGTGAGGTTGGCTCGTTTGCAGGAGAAGACCTCGTCATACCACATCGATGGCTCAAGGAGCATCAACCAACCATCCATTGGGGACGCAACAGTGTCAGCTTCCATAGCAACAACTGTATAGTCAATGGATGTTTCGTATCAGTCAAGGACATATACGATCAAGACCCAGAAGAGCTGGTCATCAGGCTGTTGAGGGCGTCACCCAAGAAGCAGACGACGATCGAGCAACACCCCTTTTGGGCAAGAGCATCGGTAAACGAGGCTCTCGTTAGTGCTATACCGGTGGAGTTTCAGGAATACGCCGACGTGTTCTCCAAGGAAGGAGCCGCTCGACTACCTGACCACTCTGAATGGGATCATACCATTCCTCTTATGGAAGGAAAGCAGGCTCCGTGGGGACCGATCTATTCGCTCTCCCCACCTGAAGATAAGGCACTCCGGGAATATTTGGACGAGAACTTGCCCTCCGGCAAAGTCGTCCCCTCCACTAGCCCAGCAGCGGCACCCGTCCTGTTCGTTCCGAAAGCTAATGGTAAGCTTCGGTTATGTGTCGACTTTCGTGGTTTGAATGGAATCACAATCAAGAACCGTTATCCACTGCCGCTCATGAACGACCTGGCCGACGCAACGAAAGGAGCACTCTACTTCACGAAGATAGACCTGAAAAATGGCTATAATCTGATTAGGATTGCTAAGGGCGAAGAATGGAAAACCGCTTTCCGAACGAAATACGGCCTTTTCGAATATAGGGTAATGCCTTTCGGCTTGACCAATGCTCCTGCGTCGTTTCAGGTCATGGTCAATACCATATTCAAGGATCTTCTAGATCAAGGCGTAGTAGTCTACTTGGATGACATCTTAATGTATTCAAAGACTAGAGAAGAGCATACGACTCTTGTACGAGAAGTTTTGGAGCGACTGCGACGACACCATCTATACGGAAACCTCGAGAAAACGGAATGGTATCAACAGGAGGTAGAATTCCTGGGATTTATACTATCAGGAAAAGGGAACCGAGTATCACCAAAGAAAGTCCAGGCGATCGAAGGTTGGTTAACCCCAACCAAGGTCAAGGAACTTCAATGCTTCCTCGGTTTCGCCAATTTCCTAAGACGGTTCATCCACCGATGCTCTGAGGTTTGCAGACCCATGACCGATCTCCTGAAGAAAGGTTCCGTATGGAAATGGGGCAGGGAACAGCAGGACGCGTTCGACGAGCTCAAGAGGAGATTTATGTCTGCTCCAATACTCCGACACTATGACGAACACCGCGAAGCAATCGTGGAGACTGATGCGAGTGACTGGGCCGAGGCCGCAGTACTCTCCCAGGTGTTCGAGGACGGTATCCTACAGCCGGTAGCTTACCACTCTCGCAAATTCAACGAGGCAGAGGTTAACTATGAGATCTACGACAAGGAGATGCTCGCAATAGTTTCTGCTCTCTTGACTTGTAGACATTGGCTGGAAGGGACGGACATCCCTATCCAGATACATTCGGATCACCAAAACCTGCAGTATTTCACAACGACCAAGAAGTTGTCGAGAAGACAAGCCAGATGGGCCGAGAAGATAGCACCTTTTCGCTTCAAGATCCATTACCGACCAGGCGAAAAGAACGGCAAGCCAGATGCACTCACGAGGCGTCCGGAGTTCGCAATGGAAGGGGGAGTAATGCGTGAGCAGCCCGTAAAACAGCTACTCAGCGCAGAACAATTTGTCAGAAAATCACGGACCAGCGTAGAAACTGGGTCTGAAGCGATTGGCAACCCCGAAGAGGAATGGAATCAGTTGGATCAGTGGTACGACATACCGAGCGTAGAGCTGCCTCAGCCACTACAGGGTTGGTATGAACAGGAAAGACGATGGGTTCGGAGGACGGTTCCGGATGAACACCTCCCTGATTCAAACCTTGAGATCTTTGGACCACCGGAGGCTGCTATCGTAAAGGTAGAGCCTGCCGCTGAATGGAATCCCGATTCGAATGACCCCACCCACGATGGTCGATGGGTAGTACCGGGCTACGCGGTCAAGCAAGTCATTGAAGAACATCATGATCGACCCGTACCGGGGCATCTAGGGAGGGATAAAACCCTTGAGTTGATCGATAGGAACTACTGGTGGCCAGGAATGTCCACGGATGTAGCCAACTTCGTCAAGACTTGCGATGTATGCCAGAGAGCCAAGCAACGTCGGAGACACTTGTCACTCCCTCAACCCCTAGAGTTAGCCACCACACCTTGGACTGATATCTCAATGGATTTCGTAGTAGAAATGCCCAAGGAGAAATCAGGATTCCGTAACGTATTGGTAGTCGTGGACCGTTTTACGAAGATGGCTCACTTCATTCCAATGACGGGGATCAACGCGGAGCAGACCGCTAACGCATTTGTCAAAGACATCTGGCGTTTCCACGGACTTCCTAGGAGCATCGTCTCTGATAGAGGAACACAGTTCGTGTCAGCATTCTGGACGGCAATCACGGAAAGATTGGGGGTTCGTAGGAGACTCTCTACTTCATTCCACCCGCAAACCGACGGCCAGACGGAACGAACCAACCAACACATGGAAGGTTATATTCGGGCATATACGGCAGGAACAGGCAAGAAATGGAAGGACCTGTTACCTATCTGCGAATACGCCTACAACAATGCGAAGCATACGTCGACTGGACAATCACCGTTCTACTGCAACTATGGCTTCCACCCCCGAACGGACTGGCCTACGGATGCAGAGATCGAACGATTAGATGCCAACGGAAACAACTACCTGGACGAGATCATTACGGCTCACGAGTTAGCGAGAGATACGCTACAGAAAACTTTCGACAGGATGGCGTCAAAGCCAGGACCAGCAGCACAGCGGTTCACTATCGGTCAGAAAGTCTTGCTGGATACTCGGAACCTTGGAGGGTACTCCAAGTGGTCAGACAAGTTCACGGGACCATTCACAGTGTCGGCAGTGGTGGGCAATCGGGCTTACCGCCTTGAGCTTCCGATAGAATGGAAGGTCCATGACGTCTTTCACGAGATGTTGCTGCGACCCTATCGTGAGGACCCAGACCCCACCAGAAAACAGAACACACGAAAGCGACTGGCAACACCCGAGCCACAGGAGGCATTGGCAGACGAGAACTTCCAGCCAACCTCGAACATACGACCCCATACGCGAAGTCAAGGCCCAGCGATCGATAATGACCGGGCTCATAAACGACAACGGAACAGACGAGACTAAGCTCGATACCTTTCCCTGCTCTATGACTTTTCCCACAGGGTTTTTATCATAGAAGGGTTTTAACGGTCGAGGGCGACGTCTAGGAAGGGGGAGTAGTGTTACAGGAACTACGGAACACTGTTCTAAATACTTAAGACAGTGAGGAATACGAGTGACGGGTTGTGATGCGAGGACGGTCGGGTAACGGAAGGACAAGCATAGAAAAGTATCGGGTAGTGTGGGGGCATGCGGTATTACCACACTAGTACTATACTGTTATGACGGCACGCTTACTATTGGGTGTCTCACCCGGAATAGAATAGGAAGCGGGGCTTACGGCTGTAGGCTGTTCTACTTAGAGAAGTAGGTCTAGGATAATAGTATGGTACAGCCCGATGACTGGCAATTGCAAGGTTCATGGTTACGTGTCGGAATTAGAATGGAGAACGGAACTATGCGGGGGCGCTTTTCTATCTGGGTTATCTTTGGGAGCATTATCTTATTCTATTATCGTTGTGTCAGTTAGTATTAGAAAGCGGGCCTTGGCATAGGTTCCAACATGTATAAATAGGGCTTGATTCTGCGAAGACTTGAGGGTATCATCAACCATCAAGTCAAGGGAATCCGGTTTACAATATCATCAGTTTAAACGCTACAGAATTATCGCTTAGCACTGGCTATTTCCCCAAACCAACAACTACTTGGACGAGATCATCACGACTCACGAACTAGCGAGAGATACGCTACAGAAGACTTTCGACAGGATGGCATCAAAGCCAGGGCCGGCAGCACAGCGGTTCACTATCGGTCAGAGAGTCTTGCTGGATACTCGGAACCTTGGAGGGTACTCCAAGTGGTCAGACAAGTTTACAGGGCCATTCACAGTGTCGGCAGTGGTGGGCAATCGGGCTTACCGCCTGGAGCTTCCAGTAGAATGGAAGGTTCATGATGTCTTTCACGAGATGTTGCTGCGACCCTATCGTGAGGACCCAGACCCCACCCGAAAACAGAATACACGAAAGCGACTGGCAACACCCGAGCCACAGGAGGCATTGGCAGACAAGAACTTCCAGCCAACCTCGAACATACGACCCCATACGCGAAGTCAAGGCCCAGCGATCGATAATGACCGGGCTCATAAACGACAACGGAACAGGCGAGACTAAGCTCGATACCTTTCCCTACTCTACGACTTTTCCCACAGGGTTTTTATCATAGAAAGGGTTTTAACGGTCGAGGGCGACGTCTAGGAAGGGGGAGTAGTGTTACAGGAACTACGGAAGCACTGTTCTACAGGCTTAGGACAGTGAGAAATACGAGTGACGGGTTGTGATGCAAGGCCGGTCGGGTAACGGAAGGGCAAGCATAGAAAGGTATCGGGTAGTGTGGGGGCACGCGGTGTCACCACGCTAGGCCCATACTATTATGACGGCACGCTTACTGTTGGGTGTCTCACCCAAAATAGAATAGGAAGCGGGGCTTACGGCTGTAGGCTGTTCTACTTAGAGAAGTAGGTCTAGGATAATAGTATGGTACAACCCGATGACTGGCAATTGCAAGGTTCATGGTTACGTGTCGGAATTAGAATGGAGGACGGGACTATGCGGGGGCGCTTTTCTATCTGGGTTATCTTCGGGAGCGTTATCTTATTCTATTATCGTTGTATCAGTTAGTATTAGGAAGCGGGCCTTGGCATAGGTTCCAACATGTATAAATAGGGCTTGATTCTGCGAAGACTTGAGGGTATCATCAACCATCAAGTCAAGGGAATCCGGTTTACAATATCATCAGTTTAAACGCTACAGAATTATCGCTTAGCACTGGCCATTTCCCCAAACACTCTCTACACTCAAACATTTGATGCTCTCTTTACCACCTTCTCACTACCCCTCCAACTTGCCCCTTCCCCGCACTCATACCCACGGACGCTGGCCATCACATCAAACGAGCCCATCTCCCCTTCCACCCCTATACCCGGCCTACAGAACCAAGCAGCTACCCTTATAATCTTGACCGAGGACGCCGAAGCAAGGAGCGACGCTCACGCACACGGACCAACAGTAGAAACCCCAAGCGAAAGTTGAATGTTGACGATTTAACCCCCACGCACAAGAAAGCCTCAAGAGGTTACTCCCAATTCCAAATTACAGCTCTCATGTTTCACTTTTCTCTCTACTTTTTCTTTCGAGGTGCTTTTGTGTGTCTTCTGATATCGACGTGTCTAGTTAGTAATGTTCTGTTGACTTTAGATCAGATCGGACGCCGGGCACGCCGCCCCCACTCCCGAGTAAAAACTTCGACGGTGTCGGACATGTCTTGGGTTAGATCCATGCATATCCATTTTCTTACTGGAATGCGCTAGATTTTGTGCGGCTCTCATATTAATCGGCACTATTCGATATCTGTGAGAACCTACCTTGGGCGAGGAGGGGCTCCTCCTAGGAACGAGATTTTGATATCCGAGGGGTGACACACTATCACCTCTCTGTTGTCACGGCGTCCAGTATGATTAGGCTGGAAGATAAACTCCAGCCAGGTACGCGTTACTGGGCCAGCTGTTCCGATGTTTCTGCTGTCTGCCGGTAAAGAGTAGGAGTAAATGGAGTACAATTGGTTCACCATAATGGCAATTTTGCCAGCTACACCTCTTTTGGTTACTTTTCCCCGTTCCCCCTCACGTTGGCATTACTTCCTAATCGCTAACTCTAGTTTCAAAGACTCCACCCCCCCCCCCCCCCCGGGGCGGGACATCGAACTTCCGATCTGAGAAATCTGAAAAACATAAGGGGACGCACAATCCTCCATCCTCCCCGGGACCACCATTCAGAGTAGCAATGAAGATAGTACCCCCTAGATAAAGCATACCTCAACCCACTACCATCAATTTCACATCACCGCCGATATACGCCCCGTTTAGGTCCGGAGGAAGGAATTCATAAGCAGTCTTGATGGTTGGATGGTATACGTTTACTTTCAGCCATTGTTGCTCGCTTTTGACTTTCTTTCTGCGGGAACCTCTGTTGCGTGAGTCGGGGCGGCGGGTTTTTGGTGCGGCTTGTATATTTGGATGGTTTTGATGGGGGCTTAATCGGGGGTTGAGTTATTCAAAATTAATATTCGGGCTACAGCTTGTGGCCGGCTAGTTTCTGTTATTATGCGCTGTTTCTCTTGGTGGAGAGTGAGGGCTACTAAGAAGTTTCCACTGTGTGTGCCAGGGAGGATAGGAGGTACCCAGAGACTCCCTCCCCCGAGAGAGTAATCCCATGAATATTGCGACTTAGAGGTAGAGGTTACTGGCCGTCCTCGTGCGCTATTTATTTCTCTGCTTTTTCCCTGGGTTTAATCTTTCTGTTTTTCTTTTTTCTCCTTGGACATTCCTCCACTTATGTTTATTCTTCTTTAGAAGACTCCCCACCAAACGTTTCGTTTCAACATAGATTTTCTATTACTATCCCCTTATATGCAAATCTTTTTCTCTTACTCTCACTCCAACCCACTGTTGACAAGCCGCATCGCGCACCTAGAATTCCGCCCCAGCTTCCGGGCTCAGCACAAAAGGGAAACAAAACCGTCCCAGTATGAAAGACGTTCCCGAGGCCTAATCTTCAAGCACCCAAGAAACTACATTTCTACGTAGTACAGTACTGCCAGTAACCTAACATCAAAGTAACACGGCCTCTCAAGGTTTGTCCTTCTCAAAGTTGCGACCGGATCACAGCTTATCACTCGATATATTATCCCTCCCCCTCTCTTTTTTTCTTTTTTCTTTTCTTGCTTTGGCGGGGAAGGGAGTACATGTTGGTCCGTGTCGAGCTACTACATTGAGATGTATTGTATTGTTTTATTTCCCTTGTTCTGTGCTCTCGTTTGCTCATTGAACTAGTATGTTCCGGCCAGGGTTGACCTAAACCTTGTTTATGTTATGGTTTATTCTTACTATCCAGACTTCCGGGTCAGACTACAATTATAGATATTCTATTACAGCTCCTGTCTCTCCTCGATGTGATGCCTAGGTCTATTTAGTGGCTTAGGTATAGAAGTGCGCTCTAAAAACATGAACGCCGTGTGAGATGGAACCTTTTCAACTTATTTTGGTTCCGTAAAAATTGAGGACATCTTATACCTCGGCATATATTTACTCTCTATAGGAATGGGATATATTTATTGAGGTTAGAGTATGTAATATGTTATGTGCTTTCGTTAAATGAATGTGACGTTGTTTTGTGTAGGCCCAGTACAAACGTTTTTGGGATGCCAAGGCCGAGTGAGTATTCATGATTCAATTCCAGGAATGTTCGTGGGAAGTTTTTTTTGTTTTGTTTTGGGAGGGTGCATATAAGTTTCTCAAAGCGCGGATTATATCTAGAGTGAATCAAGTAAATATGATTTAAAAATTTGTCACATCTTTCAAAACACTTCAAAGATTATCATGTTCATCTGGCGTTTTTATAGTGGAAACAAATTCTAATTTTAAAACTATATAAGGATATAGATTAAAAAAAAAGGATATAGATAAAAAAAAAAAAGGACTCCCTCAAAAGATCTTCCTATCTCGAGATGTTCGTTGTAATGATTCGTTTCCAACAGTTGCTAAACCTGCGTAAGGTCTTCCATTTCCGCCACGACTCCTTCCATCGCCAGTTACTGCAGGGCTGCTGCGTCTTCTGTCGGTATCGTTATGAATCATGCACTCAGTTGACTATTTACACGAATATTAGTAGTGCGTTCAGCATAAGATTTCGATGAAATATATTTGTCTTACCTGAGATAGTGGAGTACACGTTCCTTGTAAATACGTGCGCAGCGATGCTTCAAATCGCTACTCCACACATATTCATGCTCAACAGCGGCAATGTCGATGATTTTATTAAGCTCCTCCCAGACTCTTACAACCTCCTTCACGGCCTTTGAAGTTTTAATATTCAAGATAGGATTAATGTAATCAAGGATATCATTGACCGATCTCTCAACCTCCACCAAGGGATAACCAGCATTAACACGGTGTCTCAAACAAGAGATTGTTGTGTTGAGGTTTTCCTTTGTTACCAAAAGAAGCTTTGGGAGGTAACCACCTTCAAGAGTGAGAGTAGCAAAGATCCAACCGGCGGGGACGAAGATTGTTTCGCCGGGTTTGACGATAACCATCCTTCCATTGGTGAGAGCTGGCGCGATACGGCGGAAGATGGGACCTGGTTGCTCATCGTTGAGGTCATCTGTGGACTTCCGGGGGCGATAAAAGACTTTCTCGTTAGACTCAGTAGGAGGCCAGAGCATCCACAAGTTGCGGATAGTGCCCTCGTGCAAAGCCATTATTGGAAGTCCCCCCTCTATGTTTTGTTAGTAAGTTTACTCCACTAATCTTGACCAGAATTACGCAAATATACCAACGCGGAGATCAGTGAACGAATATTTCGGAGTGGCATCGAGAAAGGTATAAGAATGGACAGCTGAGCACACCTTTCCTAGCTGAGGCGGAATAACCATTGTATACTCGATCTGGGTTGTGCCAGAAGGGGGAGTTGAAGCATGAATGTTGTGAATTGATTGCACGTTTTGAACAAGGTGGTCTCCAAATATCAACTGCCGAGCAACAGTCACGAATTCCGCATCACTAGGAACCCTCTGAATAAGAATCTAAAATAGGTTAGCGCGGTTGGCAAGACCAAAGTGATAGGAAATATACATGATCTTGCGCGTTGAGTAGTGCTTCCAGGAAGTCACCCGGGGGAGGTGGTCCATTTTTCCAGCACTGTTGCCCCTTGAAAATAACCGGTCTTGGCGGCATAAACCGTAGAGTGAGACCAGTGGCTAGGGTCTCAACAGGTTTCATTTTATGGATGCATCCGGGATTCAAAATTTTCCCGATATTGGGTATTGTTTGACCATTACTTTCCTGAAATTCGCTCACGATCTGACAGGTGCGATCAACAATCCCGTTACACTTGTACTCACAAGAAGCCTGATGACCGACCAGATCAGTACCATCGGGGCATGGCAGCTTTATTGAGAACTTGCAGCCATATTTGCCCCATTTACAACGATGGCTGCTATCTATATTAGTAGTATTCAAAACTAAATAACTACTGTTTCGGGAACTTACTCCTCCATCCTCGTTAAAGCTTTTTTGTTTTTACGTTCAGAGTTGTGCTAGAGTCTTTCTTTACGAGTCTGACTAGTCCTGCTGGAATTCTTTCTTGACCTGTAGGAAGTTGGACTCATTTATTCTTACGAGTTGAGATAAATGAAATGGATAATAACCTTCTGATCGTGTTAGGCTTTTGTCGGTGGGTTGTGAATGAGGATTGGTGGTGGGTGAAGGTTAAGAGAAGTGGCCGTGGTATGGAGTTACTGCGTTGTTAAATGACCAAAGATGTGTGTGGTCGGGAGTGGATGTTGGGAGCGGGTGTTGGGGTGAAGGTGAGTAGTGAGGTTAAGAGTGGAGGTGCGAAGCTGTTGGGAGGGATAGGAATAATAGACGTGAGAGGAGTGAATGTAGGTAGATGAGAGATAGGTGTGAGTGCAGGTGAGACCTGGGAGAGAATGGATCTTGTGGGTACGACAAGTGGGAAGGATGCCAAGTTCACTAATGCACAGAGTACATGTAGTATACGTGCGACCCCTTAAGTTTAAAGTCTCTTTGTCGATGATCGACTGGGATGTGCGGGAAGCCGGGGATTAAATTTCGGTCACAATGATGTAGATTCTAGACTTATAGTTTCCATCCAATCCTACGATATTGTTTGCGACATCGTTTTGCTATTCATCTCTTCTGACTTCACGTCCATCTTCCTCCGGATTTCTTGGAACTGCCTACATGTAGCCTTGTATCTCGATCTTCATGCGAAAGTATTTGCTAAAACTGTTCTCCCTTAGCCTAATCCATCTCATATCGCCGCTTCGCTACAATACTTAGAAAAGGCCTCAACCAGTTTCTATATCAACTCATCAGCGCATGTTCTACTTCAATGAATGAATAAACTCACTTCGAAATTACAATCCGCCATACTTCCAAACACCGGGTTTCTGGACCCGCAGCTCTCCGTCACTACTCTCGGGCTTGATATCCCAAACGCAATCTTAGCTAAAAACCGCGGATCATCCCTGGTGGCCGTGGCTGCCAATACCGCCTTTATCTTATTTTGATCAATTGGTATGTCCATAAGTCTGTTATATTCATCTATCTCCACCTTCACTCCAGATTTGCACCACTGGCATTTGGCACATATACCGCCGGGAATCTTATCCCCGAAATGGTCGGCAAGGGCAGCAGCGAAGCACTTCCGGCCAGTAATGAGGTTAATGACCTCTTGACTTCTTCTTAGGTCCTCCATTTCTCGATGTTCCATTTGCTGGTATATAGAGCTAATCAAAGACTCCCGATCTTCCTTTTGCCTCGGAAATGGCCTCATTACGCGGTATCTGTTTACTACGCCGGTGGGCTTAAGTTCGATGTAACCTTTATCACTCCAGCCCTGAAGCTTGCGAACAACCTCCTCACGGGGGCATCCAAAGTGCTTACTGATCAAGTCGACGTCCACAAACCTCATGGTTTTGCCGCCGCCAGAGGTGGTGATTATAGCAGTGCCAAGTAAACAGTCTTCTGACACGGCTCGGTGGTAGCGGGGGGAAGGTTTATAGGTATACTTGGAGTACTTGGGTGTAATTGCCCTCAGAAGCTCGAAACGAAGTTCTAGTTGGGAATAAAGCAGGCCTAGGGTAGTCATCTTTTTAAAGTCAGAACATTGTAACTCAGCAAAACCCGAAGCGTCTTACCTTAATATCCCATGTTTTACTTTGTTGATAAAGACTTGCCTCTATGACATCGTCTTTTCCCGCTGTAGCGTTGCGATTGAAGAGCTCGTGCAGAAGACCATGGATGCTCTTCTTACTAGGCAGATCAGCTCGGCAGAATGTCTCTCGTTTCTGCCAATCACGGCCGCAGAGGTAAAGTGCGCATTTACCAGGCAGGTTATCACGCCCTGCACGTCCGATTTCTTGACTATATCCTTCTAAACTACGCGGGAAGTCGTAATGAACAATGTTTCGGATATCCGCTTTATCAATGCCCATACCAAACGCAATTGTGGCGACAATCTAGAGCGTTGCGAAAGATTAGAATATCAGCATCTAAGGTAGGATTTATTCCGTTCGAATACCGTCATGTTTTTTTGAGTCATGAATTTCTCCTGGACCACTAATCGCTGTTTCGCCTCCATGCCGGCATGATATGCCAAACTGGGGATACCACTCTCCACTAACTCTTTAGAAATCTCTTGCGTTTGCTGTTTCAAATATGTCAGCAATAACCTAATTTTGATAATAGCGGCCTCTCAAAACATACATCCTGACTGGTCACATAGACGATGGTTGAACCAGGATTTTCCTTCAGGAATTGTTTGAGTTTAGGCATTTTCGCTTCAACTGTCCCAAAAGACTCTGCCAATAGCTCAAGACTATTAAAGCTTAGCAGCCACCTTCAAAGAGCACAGAATATATGTTAAGCATCAAGACTTACTTCTCTCTATAGGTAGTAGTCCTAAATAATCCATCTTCCGGGATATCAAATCCTTTACAAATATCTGCAGCAACACGCGGTGTAGCCTTGATGGTATCCGGATCAGCAAGCTACAACATATAAAATTATCTCAAGTCCAATTTAACAACTCACTGTAGCGGTCAAACATAAGACCCTTTCTGCCTCAATTTCTTTCACAAATCGTGCAACTAAAAATCAGGTACATTAGCGGCCGAAATTGATCACCATAAATAATATTTCCAAACCTTTGAGGTAATCAGGGCGGAACGCTTGTCCCCATTCGGAGATGCAATGTGCTTCGTCCACGGCAATAAGTCGAATCCGAAGATGTTTAATTGTGGCTACGAAACCTTCGTTATTGAGCCTCTCTGGGGCGCAATATCTAACGTGGGTGTGATAAGCAGAGATATAGGCAATGTTATAGGTGCACCTACAGGAGCTTTAGTTCACCCCTTCGGAGAAGGTCATAGGTTTCCAGGACAGACTCCCGGGTTTGTGAGGAATCGATAGCCGCTGCTTTGACACCCCTGGCTTTTAAAGCGTCAACCTGGTCCTATCATTGGGCATATATAAGTCAGCAATGTGTCCCTCTAACAATCAATTGACATCGGTGCTTTTCTGAGTTAGCAAACACCCTACGAGATATCAGGCAACAAACCTTCATCAATGCAATCAATGGGCTGATCACTAGCGTCAAGCCACTTTTGACTTCTCCCCCTTGATTGTCTTCATATTCATCAAGTGCCAGAGCTGGAACTTGATAAACCAAACTCTTTCCACCTCCCGTGGGGAACACAACGACTGCACTCCCGCCGGCAATCAATCTTGATATAACTTCTTCCTGCTTCAAACGAAATGCTGGGTATCTCCAGATCCGCTGAAGCACCTTTCTCGCGAGGGGAGATGTAGTTGGGTATGTTTGTTTAATCTTTTTGGAGGATGGTAGCTCCGTAAGCTCAAGCTCAATGGGGCGCTTTTGATTAGCAGTTAGGTTTCCCTCAATAGTTGATGCAAGCTCGGCCAATTCCGCCTCATCATCGCTAGACAAGCCAAAGTCTTCACCGTCTGATTTGCTCATCTCGGCAGGGCGTTGGAGGTTTGGAAGATTGCTGAAATTCGTTACTAGGATGATGACGATGATGATGGCCTATTAGTTACTTTGACGTCGTCGTTGGTTTCCTGATTGACGCGTTGTAACGCACGTGCGGACGTGCGGACAGGGGTGCGGACAGGGACTTCACAACGCGAATGTTAATTATCTGCATCGTGCTAACTAAAGTTGGATTGGTCAGCTAAATCCAAGCGTCCCCAACATCACGAATCAGTTTTACTACTCGTTCGATTAACCCTCCTATAGTAGTATCATTCCTCCCATCTTAATTAACCTTCGAAAACTAAATAAAACGTGCAAACGACACCTAGCTTTTGGCTCTTGATCGGTTAGGTGAGACCGTACCACAACTACATGTACAGCGCGATGCCATAAGTCATGGGAAGGCAACCAAACCACACCAAAATTCGTCTAAATGCAACAACCACCCACAACACAATTGCCATCAATAATAAACAAGGCTTGAGGGGATAGAATACTGGCTCTCAAATTTAATAAATTCAAAAGGGCACTCTCTGAAGTCAAATGTGGAAGAAGTTATATGAGCTAGAAGTAGAGCAACTTGAAGATTCAGTTACATTCCATACAAATATGTGTTTCTTTGCAACTCAACGTAACAAAACCAACACAACTCATGCTAGAAGTGTAATATTATAATTTTCAGTTGATAGAGCGATTATTCATATGCAAAATATATAGTCCTCCAATTCTCAGAAATAATTCAAGATAATTGGTGGTCGAGGACTATGTTGAAAAGTGGCATTTTTGGTGCCTTCCCATGACTTATGGCCTAGAACTATACATGCCGAATATAATACATGCATATGGGAAAATACAACTGGTATATTTTCTTAAAAAAAGAAAGAAAAAGAAAGGTCCATCTCGTTAAAAATGTCTTTAATCCAAACACGGGAATTAAGTAGCTGCATTTGAATAAAGAAAATCACAACTATATAGGCATCTTCGATCCTAGCACGGCCGGTAGGAGTCAATCGCTCAATCTGACCCGCTACAGTACCTTGTTCACATCAAACTCGCAATTATACCCAGGCCGTATGGAGGAGCTTGCTTCCTAGATATCTGAATGCGTATCACGAGGCAAAAAAAGACATTCTTCGACTCAAGAAACCACCATTGATACAGAGCTACGCACCCTGCATAAATTCATCCTTCATATGCTAGAGATATCTGCACTATTTTATCGGTCAACACTACATCATATAACTATTTCAACGACGGAACCAAATCTCCGAAGAGGGACCTTGGGTCCCACTCTTTCTTCAGTTCCTGCAATCGTGCTACCCTTTCCTTACTTCCGTATGTGTCGATAATACTTTCATCCCCTCTATTAAAGTTCACATAGGCCTTGACTTTACCACCACTACCAAAGTCCTCATCTTGTAACATTTTCCGGACCTCGTTCCCGAACTTTGTAGCAGCTGGCTCAGTGCTGGGATCATTGTACCATAGCTGTGGCAATCTGACCCGGAGAATCTTATTAGAATATATTGAGTAACAGAAAAGCGAGGATTAATAGGAACTTACGCCCATATGTTGACATCCCTATGCGGGAACGCCGTGTCGTCCTTTCTCCCGACTTCCCGAACCTTTTCCACCGAGAACAACTCCACGAGGACTGCGCTCTGGTAAGCGTCGGGGTTTGTGCTTACGAACTGGGTATACCTGTCCCAGATCTTACGCATACCCGGGACACTTAATCTTTGCACACCCACTCCGAACAGCGACTTGAACCCGCCGTGCTTTTGGCTCGGGACTTGTAGGGCGTTAATGAGGTTATAGGGGATGCGAACCGGTTGTGCTTGGGGCGGGGGGCTGAGGGCATGAAATGGACTCAGAGAAAGAAGAGGTTTGAAATATTCTTCAGCGGCTGAAGTTGGGCCGAAATAATGGAGTATCGCCAGGCATACTGGTGAAATCTAGATCCGGTCAGCATACTATTCAAAAGGTATAAAGAACAAGGGTGGCCAGGGAGGCTACTTTATCACTCTCCTTCTCCTTCACATGCACAAAACCAAAATATCCCATCGCCTCCCCCTTTGTCCAGCCTAGCCCATTTAGAGCCTCGACCAGATCTTCGAGCTGTTCCTCGCCCCACATCAATGTCATCTCCCAAATACTTCCATCGTCACTGCCCAACGTCGACAACGGATAAGTACGAAACGTCAGTTCAACCACAAACCCAAACCTCATCCCCGCCCCTCTCAACGCCCAGAAAAGGTCCGGGTTCTTCGTCTTCGAGACTTCGATCAGCTCCCCAGCAGCAGTGATTACCCGAGCACTCAGAATGTTATCGCTTATGAGCCCATGTAGGCCTATGAGGGGTCCCAGACCACCTGCGAGACAAGAGCCAGATACCCCGACTCCTCCACAGCCACCGGAAACTATAGGGCGATTAACTTAGCTTACATCGAAATACAAGAAGAGTTCGTGATACATACCAACACAACGTCCTTGTGGGTATAGGGTGGAGATCAACTCATCCGTCAGAATACCAGCTTCTACAGTAACACTGTCTTCGTGGAGGGTGACTCTCTTCATGTTGGAAAGATCGATAATTACTCCTTCCTTCCCGATAGTGCAGAAGTTGCCATGACCACCTGCTTTGATAACAAAAGGGACTGAGTTTGAGGTTAACCAGAGAACCTACTCCGGGGTTAGCATCAGTTTCTGGTATGATGGAGAGGGGCGAGTGACAGTTTCGAGTGCATCGCCCACTGTGTGGATCTTGATGACTGCAGAAGGCACCTTCTTGTTGAAGTCGGACCAGGAAGTGAACGTCTCAGAGAAGGTTTTGGTATCAGAGATGAGGTAGGTTTGACCTTTAGAGCTTAGTCTCGGCCCCAAACTCTCCACAATATCTTCGAGGGGTGTTTTTGCTGCTGCCATCATGAATACTTTAATTGCCTGTCTGACAATATCGCACAGTGGCCGGTGGGCATTCCCCCTTCCTTATATCTGGAACTAGTTCAATATGTCTCCGCTGGTGGCCTCCGGAAGCGGATGTGGCTATTACTTCTTTGTTGGTGCACCTCCAATACCCTTTGTCCAAAGTGCAGTAATGCGGAATGTGAAACCAAGCAGAGTTCCACGGACAGAAATTTACCGGCTCATCGATCATAACTTAAATAATTATATCCACATTTTTTTTTTTTTTTTACCCCGGGCCCATACATTAAAACGAGGGATAACCGTTGATCAGCTTACACTGTCAATGTTGTATCCCGAATTCTTGGTTGTCTCAACGGCTGTCACCTCCACAGATAAGCTAAGACAGCGGTTTCATGTCTTTTTGTTTTTGTTTAATTCATTAATTGCATGCGGTTTCATGTCCATGGTTGACATTGAAGTTATGTATATTGACATATCCTTAGGCGCCCAGTGTGGTGGATGGACTGAGTGCTGATAAGGATTGTAATCAGTGCGCGGAGAAGGAAAATAAATCAGGGGATACATATGTACCATATATTAACGAAGAAACCAACAAGATCTACTTTCGCTGATTGAACATGCACGTAGGCCTGTATGTAGTTGTTTCACTACATACATGTATCCTCACGGTGGTTACACGTGCACTCAAGGCTTCGTCACCACCACCACGTGCAGTGCCAGAAATATGTTAATCATCATTATGTACGCAGTCAGAATTTCTGCTTTAAAGCTTACTAGGCATGATATGCGCTTAGTGTTACGTGCTTGGCGGTAAAAGCTTTACATCGCTTGGCCAATCAGAACTGGCAGTAAAGGGTATGTACTTAATAACGAGCCTAAGGATCGATAAGGCAGTAAAAGACCGCTGATTTTGTGCTGGAAGAAGCACATCGACCGAAACTCTTCTAGCAATATGAACCATGTTTCTATATACAGGCCGCAGTTATATCTGATTTATCAAGCCTTTCATCTATGAAATGTCAGAAGCTATATGTACATGTAGTAATGCTTGAGGTGATAGTTGAAAGCCTGATCGATGCTTAATACCCATCTTGACGCTTTTGGCCCAGACTCACTATTCCAACCGGTCTCTAAAAACCCATCATGTTAGTTCCAACAAGATACTACGACACCCTTGTCTTTGGCGCATCACCGCAGTATATGAGCTATCAAACGAAGGCGTTCTAAAACCATATTCAAATTCTTCTCCTCGATTGGCCCATCGTAACTCTATCCGAAGTCTGAGTTTGGGCCCGCTGGCTGTTTGACCAATCCCCATTCTTGCGTCCTGTCTGATTCTTATTAATCCCCGTTTATATGTACTGATAACTGCATGTCAGCAATCTATTCTTCCCTCTGCAACTCCCCCCAGGATTCCGCTTACAAAACGGAATATCTCCTCGGCCTAAAAAAAGCACTTCTTGTCAGCGCCCTAGAAAACTGTGATAGTTTCAATTTGATACGTCCCCGGATATCCAACATTTCAACGGTCGAGACAAGATATCAATGGATATCGAAATATGCGGGGAAAAAGATTAAGAAATTAATACTAGCCCCTTGAGGATGACGTAGAGCTCCAAGAGATTGAGTTGTGACTTTGTGTGTCGCACAGGATCTTGTACTACACCCCACAGGAATTGGCCCGTGCATGTAGTCTCAAAAAGCACATAAGCGAAGAACAAATTAACACCTCTGTACACAATCGAGGTTTCTCACGAGTAGAATTCCCCTGTCTACAACATGATCATTGTTTGGCAGCAGCTGCAGAAATTCAGATACGCATCCCTCTGCGTCGAGGCGCCTAAACCAACAGTACAGCTCCCTTTACAGAACACCGGCGAGAATTAAAGCCACATAGCTACAAAGAGTCAGAAACGACTACATCTCCTTCCTCGCCACAGGAGGAGTGCATACATGTGGTCAATTGCACTTCACCACGGTCTACTTTCCTCGTTGTCTCCAACATAATTATTTACGACAGGACTCTGGTCTATTTTGTTTCCATTGAGAATAAGGCGTTCCCAACCGCATGATCTCTAGAGATTTATGTCTCTTCTTCACTCGATAATATATGGGACATGTTGGAAGGCGAATCACCTCCAAGAGAGGGCGAGAACGCCATATCCCGGTTATAGACACTACTCGCAGAGATGGCAGTCTCTTAGGAGCTGTAAAATGATGTTGAAACCCCTCGCAAGAAGTCATATCAATCATTATTACCAACCGATATAAATATTATCACGAGTCTTTTTTGCATGACGTCGGTGGTGTTTACGGCTTCGGATTTAGGAATACATACAAGCTCAGCCGACAACAAAAAATCTAAACACCTTCGTACTAAAGTTCTCCAAAAAGAGGTGCCGGCATTTTTTAGGCTTGTCTGCTGTATTTGCAGCTTTCTTCCGCTTTACGGAAAGGATTCCGCCTTAACTTATTACCTTGCAATTGGTCTCAATATTCGCGGAATGATTAAATCATATATCTACATAAATCATATTCACAGAAGCCAGAGGTTAAGGGATAGGGCATTACCGACTAAAGCCTCAGTTCATGGAGAGCTTCAATGCGAACCCCCCCAATCCTCATCAATGAATTCGAAGGTCTTCTCAGTGATATTAAACGCTTTTATAGCATTTCCGAATACTTGAGAAGAAAATCTATTCTAACATATCTCACCACTCTCATCTCTCTCTGAGATATACTTGACCCGCATGCAGCCCCCAGGGCAGATATCAAGTCCAAGTGACGATATTTCCCCGTTTTCCCATTACAATAACTATCTTTTCGCGAAACTAGGAAACCTCAAAGTAATGGTCACCGCCCGCCTCGAATGGCTGTGCACAATACACTCCCAGCGGCTTCACTATCGTGCACCCTCACTCAGAGAGAGCAGACTCCACCTCCACTGCTTCCCAAACTCCACCACTCTATCAGCTCCTGGATGCTCCGAACAGTTCAATGAGGAGATAGAGTTTTTCTAGTATCTTTCTACAATTCCGGAAGACAACGAGTATGAACAATTATGGAAACCATTACACAATTTGTCTACTCCTAGAAGTAGCTCATCCTCCAAACCCAGATCACCTCCAAACCCATTTACACGCCTTGAAGGATGCCGATGAAGTCGAGACGTTATCGAAGTTGCGATGAAGCACTACGCAAGAAATTAGCATACAACTCTCCTCCGTCTCCGCCTCTACCACTCACCCACTCCGCCCCCTCCATCTAAAACGCCTTCCCCACCTCCCCCCCACTCCCACCTCCACCGCCACTCTTCGCCCTCAAAACCTCCCAATCCACCAACTCCCGTGCCTCCCCCTCCCTAATCAACCTCCGCCCCGTCCTACACCCCGGACAGATCTCGCCCGTCTTCTTAGCCTTGAAGTAACTAAGCACCCCCTGGTGCTCGGCGTGGCTGCGCGTGCACGGCGGGTCGTCGGGCGAGGGGAGGAAGCTGTGCCCACACGTGTAGCGCGTGGTGATGTGGTGGCACATGGTGGGGGGGCGTGTCATTGTGTGTGTGTGTGTGCGTTTTTGTGGTTGTTGTTGGACGTTGGATGTTTTGTATGTGTGGTTGGAAGTGGAAGAGGATGAGGGTGAGGATGGATAGGCGGGTGTGATGTAGTGATGAAAGCGGTGGTGGAGGAACGGACGATTCTATGCGCCGCAATACAAGACGTGGTGTACTGTGGCCCTAACTACATGTGATTCCAGGTTTTTCATGAAGCTCCTGCGCTGCGCTGTGCTACGTGTGGTTTAGCTTGGACAGAGGGGGCTTTCTACGCTTATGTCGTGGTTTGAGTAGACGTGGATTCACGTGGTGAGAGTTCCCCCGTTTTGCGCCATGCATGCACGGGGATGGTATGGCCGATGGCATTGGGGTGGATAGAAGCGTGACGGACCCGCGAGATGGCGATATGTTTGATGCGCTGTAGGAGTGATGTGTATTCAACGGAGCTTGTAGCTGGTAGTTTTTGTATTTTATGTTTCGTTCTCGCTTTGCTTTGATTTGATTCTCAGGATGTGTGTTTCTTTCATTAATTGGTTGTTTTTCACAAGTACATAGATTTACATGCATACCGCCATATAGCAGCAGCTACTCGGGCACTAGGATGTACCAGTCAGGCTGTTTCACACTTGGGACACTACAAGCTCTAAATTCATCGATCAATCCTGGAATTCTTCAAGAGCAGATGCGTCACATAATATCACTCGATAGTCACGTGACCGCGCTCTACGAGATTTGTGCGTATCTTCACGGTTGAATGCATTTACGAATCGCGAAACAAAACACACAATCCTACACCACGACAGTAAATGCGAATCTTGAGTTTCCCGTGTTACGAAGACACCATCTTCAACGAAAGAAAACGCATTAGAATGCACAGCAGCCACCGAACAGTACCCAAACAAAGCTTCTATTTTTCACCATGATATCTCTACCGTACAGAAAAAAACCTAAAACCCAAATTCTCTTCACAAAAAAAAAAAAAAAAAAACCTAAGATTTAAAGTGTTGAATCTGCAGAGTCGCATCGAACGACACCCTCCTGCGCTTCCTCCGCTGCGTCTCCTCCTCATCCTCGTCTTCATGCGCCCTCTTCCTATTCGACTTACGCAGCCCAGCAGGAGATTCGGTGACGGTGACTTCCTCAGCCTTCTTGACGCCCACCCCCTTTCTACCCACTCCCACCACCAACCCCTCCTCATCCTCATCGTCATCATCCTCCCTCCCACTCTCACTCTCACAATCATTCCCGCTGTCGCCGCCATCCATGCTATCCATATCCCAGTTGAGATTCTTCGAGTCGTCACACATATCGCAGTCGCCCAGCTGCTGCCAGTTGTTCAGCACGCCGTCCGCGCAGAGCTCGACCTTGCGGCAGATGCGGCCGATGGTGGACTCGGTGTGCACGCAGCCCGAGTGTGTGACGTGCGTGTGGCGGCAGATGACGGAGAGGGGTGCGAGCCTGAGGCTGCGCGAGTGCCGGGTGTGACGGCCGCGGGAGGATGGCGGGGAGGGGCTGGGGGAGGGGGAGGGGGAGGGGGAGGGGGAGGGAAGGTTAGGAGAATCTTCGGGGCTAGAGTCTTTGGGGCTGGAGACGGGGCCTGGCGGCGACTCGGGGGAGTCGAGGGAGTCGTAGTTGTCGTCGTCAGACTCGGTAGTCGCAGGGGACAAGGGAGATGAGGGAGCTTCTACTTTTGTCGATTCCACATGTTCCGCGCGGGTCGCTAGGGCCTCTTCAGCAGGCTCGGGTTCGAACTCGGTCGAGAGGTCGGCCCTTGGGGTTCGTGGCTTCTTTGGTGGCTCTGGCTGCTGCGCTGGGGTGTTTGGTTCCTCGGGGGTTTGGGGTCCTTCTGCCTCTTTGTCTTTTTTCACCAGAGTCGTTAGTTGCTCTGCGGTTCTTGGCTCCTGGAGGGTCTTTGGATCCCCTGAGATTTTTGGTGACTCTGAGGTTTTGGGCTTCTCGAGGGTTGCTGTTGCCGCTGGGGTGCCGAAGGTGATCTCCGACATTTTGGATGAAGGTGGTGGTGAGAGAGTGGTTGGGATAAAATAGTTGTAGGGACTGAATGAATGCTGTGATAAAATGAAAGGAAGGTTGACAAAATATTTTTCTCGTCGTCGTTGTTGTTGTTGTTGTTGGTGTTTTATGTACATGCGGTGGGATGGTTGTTAACTCGCAGGGTGTAGGAGGAGTAGGTGTTTATTTGTGCGTTTGACGGAAGGTCACTTTCTATGTGCATGGGCTGAGGGGGGTTACAGTACAGCCAGGTGAGAACCTCTTAAGTCACATATATATAGCCAGCTGCAGTGGGATTGGCAAACCCTCTCCCCTCCTTGGCAAATTTAATGTCAGTCTTTTGTGGTTTCTGAAAAATTGGGGGTAGAGAGGGCTTGTGTCGGTGTGTGTCTGTGTGTGCGCAGCTAGGACCTTGGCTCTCCACAGGCAGCTTGTAAGGAAGAGTCCTGTTGGGCGCTTCATTGGGTATCACTCGCTTTCTCTGCTGCAACCCAAGCACTGATTTTAGCCATCTGGGTTTGTGATTCCCCACAGAGCAATAGGTTTTTTATATGTGGATCCATGATATGTGTGTACGAACCCCCCCCCCCCCCCCAGAGGCGTAGGAACAGTGTTGAGCGTGATGTCTATCCAAGTCTCGGTCCTCCCTTTGAGGTCTATATTTATAGTCACAGCTTCCATCCTGCTATGTGCCCTTCGCCCAATCGAAACTACCTGTCCTCGTACGCTGTCTTATCTGTCGCTAATAATATTTTCCTTCAGTGAAGGGCTACATACATGAGTGGCGAGGGTGCCTTGCCAACACCGCAAGACACCCCATCACCGGTGATCACAACAACCTTCCCCATAACACCAACACTCATATTCATCTCCCTGCTATCCGGATTGGAACCTTCGATCCTAAATAGCCATTCATCTCTCCATTCCAAACATCATGACACTGTGACCGTAACGCTCTAAGTGGGCCCACCGACCCTGGTAGCCAATTGGAGGCTAATGCGTCATAGTCGGTCACTCGGACACTATTTCAACACATTCCTCACATCGCAGAGAATCAAAATACCATCGAAGTAAACCGAAACAGGTTTAATTACATGCACCTCTATACGTTCACTGACCAACCCAGGGTACGAGGCACCAGACAAAAAAAGAAGAAAAAAAAGTGAGAGAGATATTGAATCCCTGGACAAAGATATCGGGCATGAGTGATCACCCATGATTCATCCAGACCTCGACATCCCTTTAACCGTCCCGCTATTCACCCAAGTGTAGCGCGAAAGCTAACATAGAACAAAGTACTGAACTTGGGGGCAAAAAGAATTCGCCTCACATTCTCGGTGGCCGGAAGAACTCCTCAGTGGCCAGAAACACTTTCTGCCACAGAAGCCACAAGAACCCCCACACGCCACACTGTACTGTCTGAAATCAGAGGAAGAGATACATGCGTACCAGCGCCGTCGATCAGCTAAGATGGCCCAAGCCGAACCATCACACTCCCCAAAAAGAGCTTCAAGAGAGCTAGAGCCACAGAAAAGGTCTCTAGATCCGCAGAGCCTGGCATCGCACCACCTACCACTCCAATTTTCTGCTGGAGGCCTCTAGCAGTAACGTCCTACACGAAAATCCCCACCGGTGCTGCGCGAGAAATCGCCGTAGCTGGACCACGCGCTAATGCTTTCAAGTAGGAGGAACCATACCCCAAATACCCTCAAAAAAACCCAACAATACGGAGTCTCGCGAGATCTCGCAACACGGGACAAAATCCGCACACTGCTGCTCCCAGGCGCAGCGCCAGCGCGTGACACCACGGTGGTGAGGCTATCCTGATGTTTTCGCACCTACCACCATCAATAACCCCGCCACAAAACCACTCCATCGCGTCCATCACGCCCAGAAAAAAACACCCCTCCCCCCCCCCCCCCCACTACCCACTACCGGGACAACTTGCGCACCCAAGCGCACGTCCTCTCGTTTATCCGCCCACATTGCTTGGATATTTCTTGGCTCCGGCCGCCAATGCCCCAGCCCAGCCAAGGAAATGCACGATCGATCTCGCCTAAATAATTCCCTTTCCCCGTGTACTTGGCGATGGATGACAGGTGCGCCTTCCTATCCTGCGGTTAGTGTGTGGTGTGGTGTGTTTAGGCCAAGGCGACAACAACGTGGTGCGGCTTACCTTGGCTCGCCTCGCGTGGGCTGATGTGGTAGGGAGAGGGATCGATAGGAAGAGGTGAGGTGGTGATGTGATGTCGAGGGGGAGGTGATGTCGAGGGAGAAGATCGGAGTAGAGAGGGAGATGGGGATGGAGAGAGGATGACAGAGGGAGGATAGAGAGCGAGCGAGAGGATGACAGAGGGGAGGGGCGCTGTTGTTAGTATTCTGTCGATCGGAGAAGACTCGATGAAAGAGGATATCAACACCACGCAATCAACATCAACTTTACAGCGCCCGAAAGCCCACCACAAAAAAACAAAACAAACCAAAACGCAAAGCAAAAGACGAAAACGGTATGGGAATGGAATAGAATTTTTTTTGTTTTATAAAAAATAATTATGGGGTTGAAAATAATATCTCCATCTACTACCAGCTAGACAGCAACCCACCAATTGAACCAGTCCACCCACCCACCAACCAACCAACCAACCGCCGCCGGTCTTTTTTCGCGTTCCGAAAAAAAAAAGAAAATGCGTCCGTTGACCCGACTGGCTCGCCTATGAATGATGTAGTATGTAGCTTTTCTGGCTTTGAATTGGATGGATGAATGTACGAGATGCATCCCCTCTTCCTCCTCCCAATTGGCATTCTCTATTCCATCATACCACCCTCGCACGATACGATACGGCCACTCGTTCGTTGGTTCGTTCGCTCGCCGTGCATCCTGCACTCATGGCCTCCCCCCCACCTTCCACCCCTCTACCTTTCCTTCCCGGTCCGCCCGCCTCCTCATTACATATTCTCGTTGAAGCATCGTCCCCCCATATCGACATGAGAAACAAAAGAAAAAACACAAAAAAAAAAAAGAAAAACAATAATCCACATCAAAAAATCTTACAAGGATCTCCCCCCCCATTCCACTTCCCCCACCACACATCACACCACAACACACCACATCATTGTTTCTATTTCCCAGCCTGGAAGTCCGCCTCGGCCCGTCTCTTCTTTCGCGCGGCGAGCTTCTTGTGCAGCATGAGCGCAATGACCATGAGGATGAGTACGCCAATGATGCAGAACACGACCATGACACCGCGGTTCTTGGACGGCCAGTTGGTGCCGCGCTTCATGAGGGTAGAGTAGTGGGCTTCGAGGGCAGGCATTCTTGCTTGTTGGTTTTTTTTGTTTGGATGAAGTTTTTCTAAAAGCGAGGAAATGGCTGTTAGTAGGTGGATAGGAAAAGAAGGAGGAGGAGGATGATGGGGAGAAGAAAGATAAGACAGGTGAGGGAGGGGACAAGCTCGGTTGTGGGAGAAGGACAGGTGGTGTCTCAGTAGACTAGAAGTGCTCGGGGGAGCTATGAGGTAATGTAGATATAAGCACTTGGGTTACACACCTCGACTTGACAATTGTTCACAACCGTGTTTTTTTCTTTTTTTCGGTAACCGTGCGAGTTTTATAGGTTGATTGAGGATGAAGAGGAGGAGGAGGAGGAGGAGGAGGAAGAGAACAATTAACAGCGACTCTACTCAATCGATCGAATGCAACAAATAAATGGCACGCGACAGCAGCAATTGACGGAGATGGAAGGAATTGAGCTAAGGTGAGTAAGGCAGAGTGGGAGAGAAGAGGAGGAGGAATGGGAAAGTAAGAGGTGGGAGGACGAGAGGGGAGATAAAGAAGGGGAAAATTCTCGGCGGTTCCTCAATATACTCTACAGCTATGTAGCATTCTACCCTTTCCACTTCCCTCGTCCACCCCCTCCCTTGTCTTCTGCTGCTGCTGCTTCAAGCTCTGAGGGATTTTGTGGCTTCGGGGAGGGGAGGGGGGGTCCACTGCTGGCAGGTTGGTTGGCTGCAAAATGCCTCCGCACCTCTTCTTCTTCGAGGGGAGATTGATTTGCGTTAGATAATCGTGGTGTGCTTCATTAGGCACAATCTACACCAATATGGGCACCGGGGGGGAGAGTGGGTGGAAGATAGTGATAAATTGCAATTCACAATTAAATGGGGAGATATTGGGGCATCTGCAAGAGGGAAAAAGCCACATGCTTCATGATAGACCCTCCTTCTAGCACTTTTCGTCCATTGCCAGCCAGCCATGTGTGTGTTGTGCAGCTGCGTTCTTTGTGTGAGGCAGCATGACCACCATGTGGGGATGGAAGATGATGAATGCCGAGACTTCCGTAATGAGACACAAGTGTGACCGATGCGGCATGAAGGCGCCTGCTAAGCTTTTGGGGAAGCTCTTGGCGAACCCATGACAGCTGCAACCAACATGCAACACATGCAACACCAGTTGACCTTTGTCATCAACGAATTAACCCGTCTCTGCTACATATGCTACACACATACATGTACTCATCACGATTCACTACTAGCATCATACAACCTACTATTTGATAACATAAAAGAAACTATTCCCCCCTCTCCTCTCATGGGGAGGGCCTCATGACTTTCTTTTTCTTTCTTATTGTGTAGGTGGTTGCTTTGTTTTTCTTTCCCCGCGGCGACGTTTGTTGCCATCGCAATGATTACTATTCCCGGGATTCGGCTTTAGCCCGGACTAACCTAACCCTGATACTCCTCTTCCTCTTTCTCTCTCACTCTGCTCTGCTTGCTCTGGATGCCGGCAATGGCGGAACCCGCCTTACTATTTTGCGCGAATACCACGACCGCTGAAACTCAAATTTCCGGATTGGCCTGGGGGAAAGCAAAACGAAAAGGAATGAGACGTGGTTGCGGGAATAACGCCGAGAGAGAGAGAGAAATACCTTTCGCTTCCGATAGATGGATATCGGCTGGATGATGGGTTGCGTCAGGCTGTGAAACTCGCAATGGCTGGTAGATAAACATATGGGGGATTAACAGCACCAGTGCGTGCGCGATCAGAGGGCAACTGGTACGCTTTACTCTTGGAGACGAGATAAGGATAAGTATGAAGCGAGCGCATCACTGTGTAGATGTAGTCCCACTTCATTTCCCCATAAGCGCTTATCCGTCTGTCCGTCCCATAATTTCCCAGCTCACCGACCGACCCCCCCCCATCCATTCCAACCTCCCACCGTTCAGAGAGATGCCCGTCCGGACATCAATCAAAAAAAAAAAAAAAGAAGATGGCGAAGAAACCGCTGCGCGATATATTCCCTACCGGGTAGGAAGAAAAATATGTAACTGGAAAAACAAAACCGGGTCCAGGTGAGGAGGACGTGAGGGAATAATCCCGGTTCGGGCCGCACGGCATCATGCCACCTTTGTTGTCATCGTTCCTGTTGTACAAGGGTCCTTTCAGGTTGTCCAGGGGTGAGAGGCTCTACCAAGATAAGCGCGGATGCATCGGCGACGAGTGGATTGGAATTTCGTATCCGTGATTGGTCCCAGTGGTTCTCTAGGTTAGAGTAGTTACTAGGAGAGTGCTGTTAGTGGAGAGTGGAGAAGCTTGAGTTTCTTTCTAGAGTAAGGTACATACTCCAGAATCTAGATCGGAATGAAATATGGGTGGGACCTGCATAACGGAGATTCGATGTACTTTGTAGTCGCTCATGAATGATCACTCGACTCGAGGGAATTTCCAAATTCTGCAGCATCCAACACCGTCACATGCTGCTGAATTCGAACTGGATTTGGTGGTTCCCAAACGGCGAGTCTCGTTGACATACTATTCTGAAATCTGTCTTCTCTACTACAGTCGAGTCTCCTCATAGTGATGCTGCGTTGAGTAATACTCTCGTCGTTAACAGAAGTGCTTTGCCGGTCCTCTCTTACTTTGCAGTGACGCTCATCTCGTAAAGAGACAGAATTTCGGTCTCGACGGTACCCATATATCGAGAGCCGACTGAAACTGAGGGTTCGAATTAATTCGTTCCAAGACGAACACCTAATAAATATCGGGGTTTATTGCTTTCTACTCACCTCAGTGCCAGTAAGATTCCTGAATCACAACAGGGAGGCAAAGAGGAATTGAGAAACCAAAATGTCGAATTTAGTCCATTTCTCGCCTGCGCTTATATGGGGTCCTTCTTATTGCGTGTCCTCATCCCAAGGGGTTGAAACCTATTTTGAATCATGTGTCATCAAGTAAAATCCTCGTGTAACAATTCCCACATCATTTCCAGGCATAATTTGTGTAACCGAGTGATAAAGTATGTCTGGTTTGCGTCGATCACGGTTCCATGGCTCAGTTGGTTAGCGCGTGGTGCTAATATCATACCTCGTCAGGGGTAGCATGTTAACGCCAAGGTCGAGGGTTCGACCCCCTCTGGAACCAGTCATAGCTGTCTGTCGTTGCCCTTCATCTTGCGGGGTATCATTGGTGGTCCTTTTTTTCTTTGCTGTTGTAAAACCGCTCTCTGATGTTTTGCTTGGCTTTGCTTGGCGGCAATTGTTCTGCCCAGCGTGTATTGTGTAATAAACAGACGGTTATTGTTATGATCTAGAGAATCTCTATTATAAAATTTGATAGTATATCTCTTTATATCTTGTCTTATTCAATCCCCCAGACACTTGGATTTCCAAAGCAAAACTCCAATTTACTTCATCAACTATCACTCGTTTATTTGGCTCGATGATTCACGTGACCCAAATGACAATTAAAATAATAGAGGACTAAGGACTTCCGTACCATGTTTTTTTTGATGAAATACGACACGTATAACACTTGGAAAAGGGTTTGAACTCTGGCACCACCGAGTGTTGCTCCACAAAAGGTCCACAATGCGGATTACCGGCCGTCGTTCTCCATCAAAAGGTCGCGAGAACCGCCGTTACCCACAAGAAGCCAACAGGACTACCGCCAAAACTCAAAAATTAGCTATCTCCATCCAGAAATTGCCACTTAAATAATTAGTTAAATGACATCAATCTAAATCATAAGTTTCCTATACAAGTAATTCTGGTCTGGCCAATTTTTCGAGTTATGGCGGTATTTCAACTTACCTTGTAGATGAGACCTCTGTGCTCTGCAGAAATTGTCTACTCTCACGAATAATAACTTTGGCTCCCCGTTTTCTTTATCTAACAGACAACTACTTCAACTTTTGACGCTTCCGAAAGATGCATCTAGGACTGATATATCAAAGAAAGATCAGAGGCCCTATAGTACTGCAAGGGGCTACTGGCCAAGCTCAACTTTTTTCAGCTTGCAGGCTGCTTTTTTCTTTTTTGTTTAATTCATTAATTGCATGCAACCTTACAGTTATGGCAATAGCTTGTAGGCTGCCGCGTACATACTAATAAGGAAAACAATATGCTGCAATTGTCAACCGTATGTATAATTGAGGGGGAAAGAGGTCAAGTAAATACAAGACTAACTGCATGTAATAACACTTGGAGTCCATAGTATCCGAGCTTTTTATGACTGCAAACCATGTTATATAAGACCTATAGTTTCCGGTAGGATTATTGCGAAAGTCGGAACTAAAAGAGTTGATTGGTCTGTGCTCGTAGAAAAAAGCTCTCAAGGGCCAATAGGACTATCGGGTCACAGAGAACCAACTTTCGTGATGGTTTCCTAGAAACTATATTGGTAGCATCCTAGTTTTTAGTAGTAACCTTCTTGGTATGGAAGTCCTTTGCCCAAGAATTGAATCCTTTAACTTTAGTTCAAGAGGCCTTGAGAAGCTGTTGTGTCTTATCACATGCAAGACTTGCAATTATAAGCAGAGCAAGAGATTGATATGGTAAATATGCTTAGTAGCATCTATATAATCTAATGGCAGTTGCGATGCGCGGACTATATCCGTGTATAGGAGCAAGCTATGGGAAGCTTAAGGGAGTATTCGAAGACCGCATGAACCGAAGCCGGTATCAGTCTGTAGAATATTTCTTTTTGTTAGCAAACAGAGATTCTCACTTCATAAAAATTAAAGCGGTATAGCTGATCTTCCCGGAAACCATACTTCATGCAATTTTGGTAGGAAGGAAGTAATGATGGGCACAAGACAAGACAAGACCATTTTGCACCAAGTCTTGTCTTGTCTTGTCTCGTCCCATCATGGTCTTGGAAGTCTCGAGACCTGAGGTAAGTCTTGAGACGAATCTCGAGACTAATATAAGCTAAACTCGGTCTGGATCTGAGGTAGGAATTTGTACCTCAATCCATTAATCTTCACTTCCGGAAGTTCTTGGCAAGAAATGGTGGATAGAATTTGGGGCCAAAATGCACACCCTATTTTTCAAAAGCCTGTGTATGAGGAAGTCTCAGTATGAGGAAGCCTAAATATTAGGAAAGCACCCTCGTTTTGGATCACTGAAATATCACTCGGAGGTCTCGAGACTTATCTCGAGATTTCGAAAAAAACTCTCGAGACATCTCGTCTTGTCCCAGGATCGTCTCGTCATGTCTTGAGACTAACTCTCGTGCCCATCATTAGAAGGAAGGAAGTAGAATGTGCATTTTAGAGAAGGGATTTGAAAGATGCCTGTTTCAGCCCGTTTAAATGTGCTGTGCTAGGTTTTTCGGACCTAGCGCTCTCCATGTGAAAGTAGATGCCTATGTTTTGAACTTTAGGTGTACTAGAGTTCTCCTATATGCTAAGCCTATTCCTTTCCTGAAGCCATCATCGTTGGGTGGGCCATTGTACAGCGGTGGGTAATAAGTCATCGGACGACCTAGCCACATTTTTGCCTGCAAACGCGTATTTTGGTGGCGTTCCGTCTGATGACTTATTACCCATCGCTGTACATATACATTTGTTCTTCGGAAGGGTCCAGGGGGTTCATACAACTGAAGGTAGATAAATCCACTGGGAACATGGACATATTAGCTGAGCGAAATTCTGAAAATTCTAAAATTAGCGTACGCACTAGAATCGAGATGAGTTCGTTAGGGGTACATACATAAATAAGGGGGGCTACAAATTGGGATATCTCGATATGGCAGTACACAGCGGATTTACCCCATATATGTTTCGAAAACTGGCCAACCAATGAATGTTTGCCGTTGAACCAGGCTTTTCAATGACTCCAATCGCGGAAAGATCTCATGTAACACGGGAGGGACCCGAGTGGGGGTATGTACGCAAAATTTACATAAAGGATGGTGTGCGACGGGAGATTCGTGCCTCTGGGAATCGCTTTGAGTTGTCGGAGATATGCATGGTCTAGATGTAGATTTCAGGGTCCAGGTGGATCATAAAGACGCATGAGAATTAACTCTCTAGTATTTTAATCTAAAACCAGTTCCGCCTTACGTACGAGTAACGGTAGCGGTGTAAGTGTGCATTTAAGGTTTATGCACGAATAAACCTAACCCTACATTTTGCTCTTGTATGTATAGTACACACTAGACTTCTTCGGTTGGTTTGTCATGGCCCACACCGAACATTTAGCTCTATCTTCAATCGATGTTGTTGCTCTCCTCCGTCTTATCCTTCATAATCGGAATCAATGAACATACTGGAGGGCTGCTTCCATCTAGATCTGCTACACGGCACTACCACATTCTCGATACCCCTTAGTTGAAGTGTACGTACCAGTACTCTAAGGAATACTCACCGCACAGGAATCTCGAGGCCGCTCGTCTTGCGGTAGTTCAATACACCTCCCCCAAATCAATCGATCGATGTGTGCTCAACGCATCTAACGATGCCATTCGGGGAAGAAACGCCGAATGGTATTGATCAGCAGAAAATGCGTCATGTTTCTGATTTCTAAGCCGTCTAAAATCATACGTTACGTCTCATTGGATGGGGATTGAGGGCTGCTTTTGCTTGATGTCTCATGCACCATATGCATAAGAAGGTTATGTATACACTGGTACTTTCCCGAGATGTGCGGGTAGCTAGTATGTATGGTGCGCACCACGATAAAGGTGACACATTGGGACGACATTTCAAAAGCCTAAGGCTTTTCAACGAAAAATGTTAAAAGAAATGTAGAAAAATAGAACTCTAGTACAAAAGCTAAATATTAGTTCTATTTTTCTCGATTTTTAATATCTATCTTGGATAAAAAGCCTTAGGCTTTTGAAATTGCGGATTTTTGTATGTAAAATGCGCCAAGCATTCACAGAATGGAACAGGCTTGGCAGGAGGTAGACAACAACATTCCAAATATGCAGGCCAATATTGTAGATAATAAATCGTTATTTTAGGGAAGAATATTTGACTAGGCTCAGAATATATAGAAAATTTAAAACCAATTTTTTCTAAATATTCATAGGCTAGTCAATTATTCTGCCCTAAAATAACGATTTATTATCTACAATATTTGGGTAATTCCTGCCAAGCCTGTTCCACCCGCCAAACCTGACTTGTCACCTTTATGATGGTGCGCACCATACTTGAATGATTACATCTATATGCCGAGGTAGGATCTTACTCAGTTGATTACAGCCAGAACAGACATACAGCATTATGGGAAAGATCAGCGCCGTAGATCAACGGATAAACTTATGCTTATCTAGTTTAATTAGTGGAGGGGCTCAAACCTTGCGAGTGGTTACCATGGTGCCACGAGTGAGAATGGATGACTGTCTGCTTAGAGAGAAGAAGTCACTGCTCTAACGAAGAATGGCTTATAATTATGGAATTATTTACTTCTATTATTCGATCCCAGGCAATGGGTTGGTAAGCAATCTTCTCCGCGGTTTATCATAGAGCTGCATTGCATATAAAGTACCGCGAGTAACACCATCATCGAATTCCAGGCTCTGCACAACGACTGTATCCCCCGGTTGGATCCGGCAGTTTCAGGTTCGCCGGTCGGGCCCACGGTGTACTATGCATGGAGGTTAATGTGCCACATCATGGTAACTCTATTATTCTGGCATTGGTGTTATAACCTATTTCACAGTTAGCGCGGTATATGGAGGAGCACCATCCTCCATAATCACTCATACTCGCTTGGCCAAACCTCGATAACAATTGGCTTGGGAAACTACAAGACACATAAAAGGCTTTTTGAGTTTCTCTAGGGAGGGTGGCTACTGGATGAAAGTCGATCTATGTTTCGTTATTGTTGTCGACGCTGGAGCTTTTGAAACCTAGGTTTCCTTTTCTTAGGCGTTAGATGAAGATGCGATTGCCGACACAAGCACGCCATCTTCCATCGTACCAAAGGTTCCGGGTTCAGGTAGATACGATCAACGGGGTAGGAATCTTGGAATTCCTGGTATCGAGTTGGTTGTTCCCCCACTCTAAATCGAACATGTGTTTCGTTAGCTCGATTCCCCGCCGGGGAAGCAGCTTGTGTTTAAGGTCACCAATCTCTATAATAAGACAACTCCCTCTGCTTCTGCCTCTGCTTATTGGGTATATGTGTGAGTATAGCGAGCGGTGTGTTCCACTCGGATAGTTTATACTGGACGCATGGGTTGATTCTCTGCATGCAGGACCACACAGGCAGGCTAAACTGACATTCGCGAAAGAGGTAGGGATTAAGGCGTGATTTTTCGCTAACAGTAGTGGTCAACGTCAACGACACCTTTCGCCTGCTCCCCGAATAGCATACGCCCGGTCTTTATTAGTCACGACTCCCGTCCATAGAACATCATGGCGACACCGACTTCTGGTCTGCTCTACACACTTATCCGCCAACTGCAAGCTATCTCCGGCATAGCTAGACAGCTAGTACTAATGTCAGGCACAAATCTCCCGGTAATAATGCGAGTACATATGTACATACATAGTACCTACCTACATATACATAACACGACATGTGGTTGTCATGTCTTTTTCTCGGGCGAAAAACGAGAACAGCACAACAATCGTGCTGCACTCATTCATTATGCTCATCAAAGCAATGAGATGCGGACAAGTCTTTCTTCTCCCTGTCCAGCACTCTTCTGAGAGGTTACAGCTGGAGCTCTAGCATCATCCTCGCCTAAATGATGTGATCTCACGAAGGAGTCACGCTCTTCTGAAATTGTTAATAAACATTGAGATAATGCTCTGATTTTATTTTTATTCTCCATCCTGATATCAGACGGCAGAACACAGTACTGCTGAGTACTAACGCTATTACTACTACCTCGGATTACAAATAGCTCACCATATATAAAAAGACCACAAAATCTGAAATATCTACCACTCTTCCTCCACGACCTTTTGATGCCTACCGCCACACCCATCGAGACTCCCAAAGCCAAAGCTATGGCACCCGCCCAGATTGATCATGTCGTGGTACTAGTCCCATACCAAGACCTCCTCGACCCTCCCAAATGGGTGACCGAGAACTTTACCCTCACCCCCGGCGGCCGCCATTCAGACGGCAAGACCGAAAACAAGCTCATCGTCTTCTCCGACGGCACCTACATCGAGCTAATCGCCTTCATCAACGACAATCCCAGCCTCCGCCGCGGCCACCCCTGGGGAAATAAGAGCTACGGCTTCATCGACTTCGCGCTCACCACCCCCGCCGGGAGCAACTTCGACTACGCCGGTCTCCGCGGGCGAATCAACCAGAAGAGCGGGAGCCTAGGGATTGACTACGACCAGCCCATCGAGGGCGGCAGGAAGCGCGACGACGGCGTAGACGTCCGCTGGAAGGTCACGTTCCCAAAGAACGTTGTTGGCGCGGGAGTCCCGGGGTCGGATATCAGTCGGCGGGGGGAGATCCCGTTCTGGTGCCATGACATCGCCGGGAGAGAGCTGAGGGTTGATACCGCTGCCGCGAACGTCACGCACCCGAGTGGTGTCAAGGGCATTGCGCAGTTCACGATACTGGTACCGGACGGGAAGATGGACTCGTATGTGGACCTTTACTCGTCTATCATGGACAGCAAGCCCGTGAGGGTGTTTGGCACGACGCGGTTGCCGCTGGAGACTCCCATCAGTGTTCCGGGACTGGTGAAGCCGTGGGTGTTTGTGGAGCCGCCAACTCTGGATGTGGAGAAGAAGCGGTTGCAGGAGAGGGGGCCGGGCATCATTGAGATTGCGCTGAGGTTGGGCGTGGAGGGGAAGGTGGGGGTGGGGAGACCGTCAATTGATGAGAATGGGGTCTGGATACATTTCTTGAAGTGAGGGTGGTTCGGTGGGGGTTTGCGGCAGTTTGGGTGTTTTTTTTTTTTCTTTCGTGCTTTTTTTATTTTAGCAGTGATAGTTATCTTCAGGCTCAGAGAGTTGGGTTGGTCTTGGTATTGTTCGCACGTGGTAGTTAGTTTTGTTTTCGATAGGATGGAACGGAATATGCGGTTTAAGCTTAAATTACCTCTTCTCAATCTGTGACTGGTTGATAAAGTTCTATGGCCTCCATGAAAACCGGGTTTGTATTCTTATATCCTGCGGCTTCGGGATACATATGATGGGTCAAATCTTGGTTGGTATATAAACCCTAACCCTGTGTAAATGTACCTGGTGGTGATTTCCGTTGCAAGAAGTGATAAACGGATGGTATTGGGCTACAAACAAATTGGTATACACAAGAACGCCTCTAAGACAAAGAAAAAGGAAAATATAACAATGACAGGAGATTAATAACCAACACCCAACAAAAAAACAAAGTCGCAGTTTCCACCCATCATCTATCATGCACATCAGGCTCTCGCACGCTGATACAGAACCTGCAAGACCCCCGCGAATACGACCGTCGCCGCACCAAACAGCACACCCTGCGCCTTAGAACCGAGCCCGGCACACTTGGTGGACTTGGAAGGTGAATCTTCGCTTGGAATGTAGTGGCGGGAGAACAGGTCGTTCTGGATCCAGAGGACCTTGTTGAATGCGCGGAGGACGGCGGATTTGGTCTTGTCGTCGAGATCGGGGTGCTCAATTACGGCGCCGAGGAGGACGTCGATTACGTAGGCTGTCCAGAGAAGCTATGGGTTAGAAATTGTATGATGGTAGTGGAGATGGAGGGAAGAAGGGAGGGGTGTACCTAGTAGGAGGGCCATGTGGATGTATTCCACACGCAAACCGGGCTTCTTAGCACGGTGGGCGAATCCGGCCACTCCGGTGTGCATAAGAGCTACTTTATCCAGATATTCCTATATCCTCTGTCAGTTTCAAACCACAATTACAGCATGGTAGGCATGAAAAACTTACCCAAGTCGATGCCTGGTCGTAGTCCATAGTGACAAGCTTCACCAGGTATCCCTTCAAGAAGCTCATCCTGAACTTGATCTGTGGGTGCTCGAGGGAGAGGTCCTCTACGGCTGTTGGTGCTTCGCCTTCATAGCCTGTTTGTCGGGGACGAATGACCTTGCGGTGATGTCGAAGGAGAGGAGCTTTTTGTAGACGGCTTCTACGACGGCGGGGACGAGCGCCGACACCACCGGTTTTGAGGCGTAGATTGCTTGTGCGTCTTCGGGGGTGAAGCCGACGAAGGCTTTTGCGTATGAAATTCTGGACTCGAGGGTGTCGAGGGACGCTGGGTCGATGTGTTGCATGTTTGATAGATGTGTTTGGGGGATTTGTTTCGAAGGTTTGGAATTGAGGTGTAATAATTTGTCCTTTAGAAGGGGATATAGTTCAGTGATATGGTACGTATAGAGTATGAGAAAATGAGCTACCACGAGGTGGACCAAAGAACCTTTTATAAAAATTCGCAGGTCCATGCAGGGCCCTGTGGCGTATAGCTCAGGGTTTATTGGAGTATTTCTCCGGGTCTCGTGAGGCTAGTTAGTAAGGTACAACCACCACCATACCAGCTGCAATGTTTCCCGAAGCAGCCCGACCCAATCGTGGGGGATGCTTTTCAAGCACAACAAGCGAGAGTTGGCCCATAAGCACTGACAGCACTCTAATTTTGACTCAGGCATGATTTGATGCCATCTCGACTTCATGAGAGCATGTATCAGTAGCAGATTATGCACGATAAGATATGTTTGAGCCACTTTGTTGTTGTAAATACCTACTGGTTGTGGCTGTCTCGGGCAAAAAACCGTTTCACCCAGTCGCGGGAGAACCCGCCTTCGTTTTTCTTTTTTTCTTTTCTTTTCCTCTCTAACCATGGACCACAGTATCGAAAACTGGAATCGCATGATCTTGGAACTTAGGAGTCAGGTACAGATGACATGACGTTGCGTTGATCGCGAAAAAAAAGAGCCTCCATCCCGGACGGTCCAGTAATAGATTTTTCGAGGGCCGAGTTGTAGAACTCCGCGGACCGCCGCGGAGGTCGACTCCGAACGGTGAAAAGAAGCCGAAAGCCGGGTCTACCTGACCATTGAGATCCTTCAACTTTGCCCGCAGTGACATGGACATCGCAACACCACCCCAGCTTTCAAGGATGAAGGGAGTACGATTAGTCACGACTTCGGAGACGAACGGGATCAGCTTACCTACACCTCATGTACTCTACCTGTTTCTTGAAGCATCTCACTGTCATAGTGGAACGAGACGAGTGGAAAACCGGTGATTTGAAATAGAAAGTAGTTTTCTTTCCCCGCGGAGCCTAAACCGTACGTTTCTTCGCTTGATCCATGACAGGTACCGGTATATACCGAGCCTTTCACCATGGCATGACCTGTTCTGATACTTGCATAGCATTGCATCCGTAGTAAGAGACTTCTCTCTCTTTCTGAGCACATCAGGAATTAGCGAATATATTCTCCACAAACCCGCCAGGTCATGATCAGCAGATCCGGGGGGGGGGGGGGGGGGTACTGCGGTGTTTAATAATCGATGTACAAAAAGGAATTTCCCGCACTGTAATCCAGTAAGCAGACAACAATCAAATAAATTATCACCCACCCCCTGGCCATATCAGCACCTGCCACTGATTCCCAGTAACGCTGCCAAGGCCTATTCTCATTGGTTCTATCCAACCTTAACAAGACCAGTTACCAACTGATCTTCGCAGTAGAGTAAATACTAGCTCGCGTGCCCGGACCTGTCAGTGGGGGTACCCGCGCATGCATGGGGGATAAGAGTTGGAGGTTTTATGTACACCCCGTATCGAGAGATAAGATGTGGTCTTTCCGCTTATGTCGTGGGGAGTCCTATTGGAGGTCGGGGAGCTCCATCAGATAGTTTGGAGTTAGGGGCGCTGCAATGTTGATCTTACTGTACCTAGGAAGAAAGAGGACGAGAGATGACTCGTTTGTCAAAGTGATTACATTGCTTGAAGTTGAGTTTGTTGAAATTTTGATTATGTGTGCGTGTCATGAAATGTATTCACCCTTGAATGCGTACATCTCTTTGGCCTTTGGGAACTAGCGTAAATATGTATTTAACACACGTATACCCCACCATCACTTGTTTTAGGTGGCCTCCTAAGTTGCGTCCTTAAAACCCCCACGAAGACCTCCTACCCAGACATCATTTCACTAAACGGTTCACACATACTCAACGTGAAAATAACAAGTTCCAAATCTTGCATTTCTTCAAAGCGCTTTCATCACATGGCCAAGACCGCTTTCTCTTGCACTTCCGGGACCGTTGATACAATATCAATCTCACAATATAATAATCCCTAGCTGGAAACCCTATGGCCCAGCTAACACAAAAAGATGAGGAATATACAGCAAGCGCTCGTGTAGCTCTTGAGATCATCAGTCTCGACTGGTTTGATATCGGCAACCACTACGGTGAAGGGCGGTTAAGAACGAGATATCATAATTGGATCCTTAAAGGGTTGTTCTCGAAGGTTCCCCATGTGGGACTGCCCCCTTGATTGGTGGCTCAATTCCCTCGTTTCGCCGACATGCAACCGGATATTTCTCACCAAGCCGTATGTACTCTGCAAAGAAACTTTAATTCAACGACACCCATCCGCTAGCTAAAGTATTCCAATCGACGTTTGAAATTATTTCTAGGCATAGAAAAATAAAAATAAGAAAAAAAGGAAGGAAAAGGAAAAGGAGAAGGAAAAGGAAAGAAAGAAGCAACATATACACCTACCAGGCCGCTCACATGTAATCCTTGCACTCGCCCTCACAGTACTCCCACAGCTTTTTTCCGTTCTCTTCCAATCCCTTTGTGATATCCGCTCTCGGCGCCCCAAACCTTCCCCATGGGATGACATACGCGCCATTATTCTCCTCCGTGACTTTCGGCGACAGCCCCGCCCACAATTCCGTCAAACCCCCGTAATAGGCCGGATACGAGATAACTGTATGAAGGAAGACCTGTATTATCCATGGTGAGGTACGATCTAGCTTCGACTTCAGGTTTCCGGGATTAAGGGACTATCATACCATCTGGCATTAGTTCCCTGCACACGAGATAAGATATCATTGGTGATTGGGTGGTACTTACAAGAGACAAAACACCCGTTCCCTGCAACCTCTTTGCCAGCTCCGCGGCCATGATGATGTTCGCGGCTTTGCTCTGGCCGTACTTGAGAATCCTCCCTTCTAGTGGTACTATCATGGATTTGAGCCCCGGTAGTGGCTTCTCAAAGTTGATGTCATCCCAGTTAATGCCCCCAGGGTACGGTGAGCTGTTGTTCGCGAGCGAGCCAACCCAAAGCACACGGACACTGTTCTTCGGTGTCTCTGGAAGCGCCGCCGTCTTCACCATGAGCGGTGTAAGGAACGACTGGAACAGCCATGGAGCGATCACATTTGTTCCCATCTGTATCTCATGCCCCTAAACGCCGATTACCGTGAGAAGGTGCACATTTGATATATAGCGGGGTACATGTGGGGGGTAGGGTGCTCACATGTTTATCGACGGTTCCATCCGGTGGTAACATGATCCCCGCATTATGCCAGAGCACATCCAGCCTGCTCTCCTGGCGCATGAACTCCTCCGCCGCAGGCTTCACCGTGGCCAGATCCGACAAATCGATTTGCAGAAACTTAAGCGTGCCCGTTGATGTTGGGTGCTCCTTCTTGATTGCCTCGATTGCGGTCTCTCCATTAGTGGCGCTACGGCCAGCGATATAGACGGTTGAGTTTTTGAAATAGAGGATCTGTGTGTGCCCGCACGTTACGTTAGGACTCCGTGGTGACACGAGCACGAGCGAGCGAGCGGTACGTACCTTGCAGAGCTCGAATCCCACGCCTGAAGCGCCGCCGGTGACAATATAGACCTTGCCTGAGAGGTCTGGCAGCGACTTCTCTGTGAGCTCTGGTGTCGGAGGGAGCATCTCCGTGTATGTTTGGTATAGTGCAGCAGCCATTGCGACGTTTTTGAGGTTATGGAGAGGAGAAACAGTGGGTGGTGATGGTAGATATATACTTATAATGACGGACCAAACTCGACCCAGATATATAGCAGCCAGACCACAACAAACACATGTCACAGGTACGTAGTTGCGCAGACCTCAACTGCCCAGAATCGACTGCCCCAGGATGTGGCCAAGGATGGCTGGTGCAGGGGGTGCGCCGTCTCCTTCCTTTCCTCCTCCTCGGCGCGCGTAGGCAACAATCAAACAAAAGTGTCTATAAATAACCACTATCATAATCGATTTCCAGCTGTTTATTCACAAAGTAAGCTTATCCTACAGCCACATTCCTAAGTATCTTGTCCTTCTTCTCCGTAGGCAATACATACAATTAACAGCTTCACGAAACTGTCACGGAGCCCCGTTGCAAGTCCGTCGCCGTCCATGTTCGGCATCCCTGCACGTCCCGGATCTCCCTGTCACTCACTCTCACTCTCACTCATTGACGTCTCCGGGCTGTTCTGTATCCGGTCCCGCGCATTCCACGGATGGAAGACACTGAGAGATCCTGAGGCAGAGGGACATATGGCAATCTTTCCGCTAATGCCGATCCTAAAGTCTCGTGGTTATCTTCAGGACCGTAGTTAACCGAGAGATAAGATAAGATAAGATGATCGTCCCGCACCTGTCTCCGTCTAAGCGAGACCGGGGTATGTGTGCCTCGGCATCATCGGTTGTCGATATTGAAATTTAGTCAGGGCTAGGGGTTTGATCTATCCACCAGCCAGCGCCGCCAAGGATCGTGAGTAACTGGCTGGGGGGTTCAATATCAAGGTGGGTGCACTTTGGGGGGCGGAGAGTAACTGGGCAGTTGTTTACAGACTGCAGTGTTGAGTTCATGATGAGCAGTATATTTCTCAAAAGGAACATGAAGACCCACGGAGTGAGAATCCGTGAAGGTGGTTCGTGCTAGCTAGCCATACTTATTTGCCAGGTACGAGGGGGGGAGGGGTGTTTTTGAGCCGCTATTACCAACGTCACAGCTCGAGACGCAGCATAAGAAGACTTGTAAGTAATGAAGCTTAAGTGCGCACGGCCTAAGAGACCCCGACAGCTCAATCTACCCCACTCCTTTACCTATGTAGCTAGTCAACCTCCCCATTTATCCCCCGCGCTGGACCATACTTTAGTAGTTGTCAAACCCAGATCAGAGCTCAAGCCTCGAACTGTCAACCAGGGGTAAACAGTAGGTACTCGGGGCAGGCAAGAAGAACCTGAAAATGACTTTTTATTGTAACGACCTCTGATTCGCGGCTGGCAAAAAGCTACACCAAATTGAGCCCCTACTTGCAGCTTACATTTTCAGGTTCTTCTTGCCTGCCCCGAGTACATATATCACACTTAAGCTCTCGAAAATACCCCCGGCCATGCCCTGGGTAGCTCGGCATGACGTGCACTGACGGGCCGGAGGTGTGGGTTAATTAAACTGGTCGAATTTGGAATCAGGCCAATGACTCTCCGCTCTATTTAAATAACGGGGCACCTGCTGGAGGTTGCACTTTGGAGGTTGGGGGAGGTGAGGAATTAATGGCTCTACTATGCACCTACATGTACAGGTGGGTTTTCTGGTTGCTGGGTCGCTAATCTATAAGTTCCACTGAGAGCTCTTATAGTAGGAATATCATTAACGAAAAATACCATATCATATCGCAATATATTTTAGCACAATTTAAGGCAATTATATCTACTCCACTGTCGGGCCTGACCCTGTCCCTGGCCGTGCCTTGCAGGGCCCTCCACATATGCTATGAGTATGATCAACATGTTAAGGAAAATGGCTAGTGCTAAGCGATAATTCTGTAGCGTTTAAACTAATGATATTGTAAACCGGGTTCCCTTGACTTGATGGTTGATGATACCCTCAAGTCTTCGGAGAATCAAGCCCTATTTATACATGTTGGAACCTATGCCAAGGCCCGCTTTCTAATACTAACTGATACAACGATAATAGAATAAGATAACGTTCCCGAAGATAACCCAGATAGAAAAGCGCCCCCGCATAGTCCCGTCCTCCATTCTAATTCCGACGCGTAACCATGAACCTTGCAATTGCCAGTCATCGGGCTGTACCATACTATTATCCTAGACCTACTTCCCTAAGTAGAACAGCCTACAGCCGTAAGCCCCGCTTCCTATTCTATTCCGGGTGAGACACCCAATAGTAAGCGTGCCGTCATAATAGTATAACACTAGTGTGGTAACATCGCGTGCTCCCCCACTACCCGATACCTTTCTATGCTTGTCCTTTCGTTACCCGACCGTCCTCGCATCACAACCCGTCACTCGTATTCCTCATTGTCCTAAGCCTCTAGAACAGTGTTCCGCAGTTCCTGTAACACTACTCCCCCTTCCTAGACGTCGCCCTCGACCGTTAAAACCCTTCTATAATAAAAACCCTGTGGGAAAAGTCATAGAGTAGGGAAAGGTATCGAGCTTAGTCCCGCCTGTTCCGTTGTCGCTTATGAGCCCGGTCATTATCGATCGCTGGGCCTCGACTTCGCGTATGGGGTCGTATGTTCGAGGTTGGCTGGAAATTCTCGTCTGCCAATGCCTCCTGTGGCTCGGGTGTTGCCAGTCGCTTTCGTGTATTTTGTTTTCTGGTGGGATCCGGGTCCTCACGATAGGGTCGCAGCAGCATCTCGTGAAAGACGTCGTGAACCTTCCATTCTACCGGAAGTTCGAGACGGTAAGCCCGATTGCCCACCACTGCTGAAACTGTAAATGGCCCTGTGAACTTGTCTGACCACTTGGAGTATCCTCCTAGGTTCCGAGTGTCCAGCAAGACTTTCTGACCGATAGTGAACCGCTGTACTGCCGGTCCTGGCTTTGACGCCATCCTGTCGAAGGTCTTCTGTAGCGTGTCTCTTGCTAACTCATGAGCCGTGATGATCTCATCCAAGTAGTTGTTCCCGTTGGCGTCTAATCGTTCGATCTCTGCATCCGTAGGCCAATCCGTTCGAGGGTGGAAGCCATAATTGCAGTAGAACGGTGATTGCCCAGTCGACGTATGCTTCGCATTGTTGTAGGCGTATTCGCAGATAGGTAACAGGTCCTTCCATTTCTTGCCTGTTCCTGCCGTATATGCCCGAATATAACCTTCCATGTGTTGGTTGGTTCGTTCTGTCTGGCCGTCGGTTTGCGGGTGGAATGAAGTAGAGAGTCTCCTACGAACCCCCAATCTTTCCGTGATTGCCGTCCAGAATGCTGACACGAACTGTGTTCCTCTATCAGAGACGATGCTCCTAGGAAGTCCGTGGAAACGCCAGATGTCTTTGACAAATGCGTTAGCGGTCTGCTCCGCGTTGATCCCCGTCATTGGAATGAAGTGAGCCATCTTCGTAAAACGGTCCACTACTACCAATACGTTACGGAATCCTGATTTCTCCTTGGGCATTTCTACTACGAAATCCATTGAGATATCAGTCCAAGGTGTGGTGGCTAACTCTAGGGGTTGAGGGAGTGACAAGTGTCTCCGACGTTGCTTGGCTCTCTGGCATACATCGCAAGTCTTGACGAAGTTGGCTACATCCGTGGGCATTCCTGGCCACCAGTAGTTCCTATCGATCAACTCAAGGGTTTTATCCCTTCCTAGATGCCCCGCTACGGGTCGATCATGATGTTCCTCAATGACCTGCTTGACCGCGTAGCCTGGTACTACCCATCGACCATCGTGGGTGGGGTCATTCGAATCGGGACTCCATTCAGCGGCAGGCTCTAACTTTACGATAGCAGCCTCCGGTGGTCCAAAGATCTCAAGGTTTGAATCAGGGAGGTGTTCATCCGGAACCATCCTCCGAACCCATCGTCTTTCCTCTTCATACCAACCCTGTAGTGGCTGAGGCAGCTCTACGCTCGGTATGTTGTACCACTGATCCAACTGATTCCATTTCTCTTCGGGGTTGCCAATCACTTCGGACCCAGTTTCTACGCTGGTCCGTGATTTTCTGACAAACTGTTCTGCGCTGAGTAGCTGTTTTACGGGCTGCTCACGCATTACTCCCCCTTCCATTGCGAACTCCGGACGCCTTGTAAGTGCATCTGGCTTGCCGTTCTTTTCACCTGGTCGGTAATGGATCTTGAAGCGAAAAGGTGCTATCTTCTCGGCCCATCTGGCTTGTCTTCTCGACAACTTCTTGGTCGTTGTGAAATACTGCAGGTTTTGGTGATCCGAATGTATCTGGATAGGGATGTCTGTCCCTTCCAGCCAATGTCTCCAAGTCAAGAGAGCAGAAACTATTGCGAGCATCTCCTTGTCGTAGATCTCATAGTTAACCTCTGCCTCGTTGAACTTGCGAGAGTGGTAAGCTACCGGATGTAGAATACCGTTCTCGAACACCTGAGAGAGTACTGCGGCCTCGGCCCAGTCACTCGCATCAGTCTCCACGATTGCTTCGCGGTGTTCGTCATAGTGTCGGAGTATTGGAGCAGACGTAAATCTCCTCTTGAGCTCGTCGAACGCGTCTTGCTGTTCCCTGCCCCATTTCCATACGGAACCTTTCTTCAGGAGATCGGTCATGGGTCTGCAAACCTCAGAGTATCGGTGGATGAACCGTCTTAGGAAATTGGCGAAACCGAGGAAGCATTGAAGTTCCTTGACCTTGGTTGGGGCTAACCAACCTTCGATCGCCTGGACTTTCTTTGGTGATACTCGGTTCCCTTTTCCTGATAGTATAAATCCCAGGAATTCTACCTCCTGTTGATACCATTCCATTTTCTCGAGGTTTCCGTATAGATGGTGTCGTCGCAGTCGCTCCAAAACTTCTCGTACAAGAGTCGTATGCTCTTCTCTAGTCTTTGAATACATTAAGATGTCATCCAGGTAGACTACTACGCCTTGATCTAGAAGATCCTTGAATATGGTATTGACCATGACCTGAAACGACGCAGGAGCATTGGTCAAGCCGAAAGGCATTACCCTATATTCGAAGAGGCCGTATTTCGTTCGGAAAGCGGTTTTCCATTCTTCGCCCTTAGCAATCCTAATCAGATTATAGCCATTTTTCAGGTCTATCTTCGTGAAGTAGAGTGCTCCTTTCGTTGCGTCGGCCAGCTCGTTCATGAGTGGCAGTGGATAACGGTTCTTGATTGTGATTCCATTCAAACCACGAAAGTCGACACATAACCGAAGCTTACCATTAGCTTTCGGAACGAACAGGACGGGTGCCGCTGCTGGGCTAGTGGAGGGGACTACTTTGCCGGAGGGCAAGTTCTCGTCCAAATACTCCCGGAGTGCCTTATCTTCAGGTGGGGAGAGCGAATAGATCGGTCCCCACGGCGGCTGCTTTCCTTCCATAAGAGGAATGGTATGATCCCATTCAGAGTGGTCAGGTAGTCGAGCGGCTCCTTCCTTGGAGAACACGTCGGCGTATTCCTGAAACTCCACCGGTATAGCACTAACGAGAGCCTCGTTTACCGATGCTCTTGCCCAAAAGGGGTGTTGCTCGATCGTCGTCTGCTTCTTGGGTGACGCCCTCAACAGCCTGATGACCAGCTCTTCTGGGTCTTGATCGTATAGGTCCTCGACTGATACGAAACATCCATTGACTATACAGTTGTTGCTATGGAAGCTGACACTGTTGCGTCCCCAATGGATGGTTGGTTGATGCTCCTTGAGCCATCGATGTGGTATGACGAGGTCTTCTCCTGCAAACGAGCCAACCTCACAGGTGATAGCCCTGTCTAGATGGTTGCCGATGCGGAGGGTAAGGGGTTGAGTGATGTGGGTGCCGGAATTGGGCATAGGGGTACCGTCGGCCTGTCTGATGATGAGAGGCTTTGGTCGAGGTTGAGTGGGTATTTTTGCACGGTGGATGCAGTCCCAGGACATGATCCAGTCCTCTGTGCCACTGTCCAAGAGTGCGTTGACTGTTGCGACATGTTTGGTACTAGTTGCGGGGTGATCCCAAGAGATCTCGATCTCGAGGCGGGTTTCTTGTGTGTTGGAAGACATGTTTATTATTATTGGTCTGATAAAGGGGTTTTTATTGGTTCTGGGTGTGGGTTTCGATGGTTTTTTCGTTGAGCGCGGGGTGATGGGGTTTATATAGAGAGTTCGAGTGTTTGACGAAGATCATGGTACAACACTTACGCACCAGGCGTTTCGGGGTGTAACCCCATCCTCAGAGTGTGTGTAAAGAAAATTGAATTTCCGCGCGTATAACGAAACAAATATAGAAAATCTCGTGGTCAACCCATAAAAATAACCGTAATACATAAAACCCTTGTCTTCATAACCCAAAGTAGAAAGAAACCCGTAACGCAACATGAGATACCGAAAAATAGAAATACCCAATCAATTTTGATCCTCCAAAGTTGTAATCCTTGCCCTAAATGCCTCATTCTGGGGGCCCAATTTCCGCTTCTTTTCACCCTCCCTTCCGTGGTCCTTTCCTCCGGAAGGATACCGTTTCCTCTTCAGGTCGGTTAACCTGACCTTACTCGTCGCCACGCAATCTTTCGCGAAGTGGTTATCTCTACCACAACGGAAACACTTTCCTTCCTTTTGCCACTTCTCCTTTTCGTCCTTGGTGACACCTAAGTCATCCGAGGCCTTGGAGTTGTGTGCTGGCGCGGAAAAAGTTTTCCGAGGTGCGGGGTTGCGCGATTTTCGCCGTTCCGATTTTTCCTCACGAGGTTTCACGACATCCTTGCCACGTAAGATCTCTTTCCGGGCCTTCACCTCGTGATCCTTACGTCCGACCTTCCTAACCCAGGCTAGCCATTCCGCGAAATCTTCTGGTTCCTCGATCGCGTTCGAGAGGCGTTGTTCCAGCGAGGAGTTTATTCCTGTTAGGATCATGGATTTCATTACGATGGGTCCGACCTTCGCGTCCCATTCCAGATTCTGCATTTCGTTGATGTAGTCATCGATCATGCCAGTTTGACGGAGCTTATCCATCTTCTGTTTGGCTTGTTCTTGACTTGTTCGATTGCCGTACTGAATCCGTAATTCGTTTTTGAAATTCTCCCATGTTCCGATGCTGGGGTCTACCGATAGTCGCTCCACGAAGTTTCGCCAGAATTTTGCCGCACTCCCGGTAAGTTCGAGGGATGCCCACAGGATCTTAGTTTGGTCGTCCCACCGGACTTTCCTCTGAAGTTCAATTAAGACTTCCATTTGGTCGATCCAGTGTCGTACGTCTTCGTCGGCTTTTCCGGAGAAGGGGATTTTTGCCTGTTTTGGCGTATCTCCCAGGGTGGCGCGAGGGGGGTGCATGAGGTCTACCTCTTGCTGCCTGTTACGGCGTCTTCGCTCCTCCCGTTTTCTCTGTCTTCGTTCGCGTGCTCGGCGATCGTCCTCTGAATCGGAGGAGCTGGATGAGTCTGAGGGGGATGGGTCTCGTGGTTTTGCGCGGTTTCCGCCGTTGCCGTTATTGCCATCGCCTCCCCTGCCTCCTTGCTCACTTTGCTGGCTTCTTGCTTCGGAGCGAGGGGGTACGGGGGGTTGGTTCCCTGATTCTTCCGGTCTCTCTCCGGAATTGCTAGGGGGGTTCTGAGGGGGTTGGGGGGGTACTACGCCTCCGCCTCCTGAGTCTTCGGGGGCTGTTGCCGTTCTATTGGCTGCTACCCGCATCTGCTCAATTATCTCCTCCAGGTTCTTTTTCGTACCTGCGAACTGGTCTTCCATCGCAGCTTGTCTGTCCCGTTCCATCCTCTCGAGGGCAGCCATAACCTCCGCGGGTATCTGCACAGGGCCATCTTTCGGGAGTTGTTGAACGAAGTTGGTCAGCGCATTTATGTGCTGATCCTGTCGCTCCTGCCTTTCCTGATGCGCCCTAGTAGCTTCCACGATCTGCCCAAGGACTTGGCCGAGGTTGCTGGTAGTGGCGGTGGATTCCGCTCGTAGCTGAGCCATGACCTGGTTGAGCTGACTGTCGCGTTCGGCTCTGTCCCCAGCGAACTTGGCGTGGAGGTCCTCGACGATCTTGTTGGTATACTCCTGCTGCTGCCGGGTGAGTTCCCTGAGTATGGGGATATCCCGCACGTGCATGCTGAGTTCCTCGATCCCGCGGCTGAGCTGTTGTACCACGGGGGCCCCTTGTCGCTGGACTTCTTGCCCAATAAGGTCGCCAAAAGGGTTCTCCACCCGCCGTTCCTCTACGTCCATGTTGGTATCCTCGTCGTCGTCCATTACCCGAGGCACCGAGGGCCTCTGAGTAGAGGATCTCTCTCTGATTGGGGTGACGTATGGGGAGAACTCCCGGTGGTCTACCTGCCGCCTCCTCGCCTGCCCATAGGATTCTTCCTGCCTCGTCGATGTGAAGAGGGAGCCTATCGGCACATCTCTCTCTTTCCTGTGACGCCTCTTCGCCTGGGTTTCCAATATACCTCGATCTCTCAAGGCGATTGAACTCTCCATGTTGTAGTCTTCCTCCGACCGTTGCTGATGAGCCCTTGACATTGCTAAGTTGCTCGAGTTTGAGCTGTGGTTGCCTTATGCACCAGGGTTGAGCAACGAACCAGGGGGCTGGATGAGCAAGTCCGAAAGACCGTTGGGAGAGAGTGATCTTGATTGGGAAGAGTTCTAGGTAGTTGAGGATTTCGGGGTCGTGTTCCTCGAAGGTAACGGTGGTTCCTGCTTCTGCGAAGAAACCTGTGTAGTGGAGGTATCCGCAGTATAGATGTTCGGCGCTTCCTCTTCGAACGATGAAGGATGTAGCGCAAAGGTAGTTGTTAATGGCTGCTGTTGCCACTCGGGGGTGCATATAGTACCTTGGTCTTTTCTAATGGACTAAGCGCTTATTCTTCTACTGAGAGCACGGTGACTATCCGCCACTAAGCAAAATACTCAGAGTATTGGTTTAAGCGAGTAGTTGTCTTATCGAGACTTTGGTAGTATATGCGATAGGTAAAGAGTAAAGTTAGGGATAAGGTACAATATAGTGTTAAGGAAAATGGCTAGTGCTAAGCGATAATTCTGTAGCGTTTAAACTAATGATATTGTAAACCGGGTTCCCTTGACTTGATGGTTGATGATACCCTCAAGTCTTCGGAGAATCAAGCCCTATTTATACATGTTGGAACCTATGCCAAGGCCCGCTTTCTAATACTAACTGATACAACGATAATAGAATAAGATAACGTTCCCGAAGATAACCCAGATAGAAAAGCGCCCCCGCATAGTCCCGTCCTCCATTCTAATTCCGACGCGTAACCATGAACCTTGCAAATGCCAGTCATCGGGCTGTACCATACTATTATCCTAGACCTACTTCCCTAAGTAGAACAGCCTACAGCCGTAAGCCCCGCTTCCTATTCTATTCCGGGTGAGACACCCAATAGTAAGCGTGCCGTCATAATAGTATAACACTAGTGTGGTAACATCGCGTGCTCCCCCACTACCCGATACCTTTCTATGCTTGTCCTTTCGTTACCCGACCGTCCTCGCATCACAACCCGTCACTCGTATTCCTCATTGTCCTAAGCCTCTAGAACAGTGTTCCGCAGTTCCTGTAACACAACAACGTGGTGCAATTGCGCAAGGGCCTGTTTTGCTCTCTAGAGCCTAGAGAGAGCAACCGGCTGTAGCTACTAAGTAGGTAATATGGTATCGCGATATGTGTACCTACATCGTAACACAAATATTATTCCTGGCGGTATATCTACATTCTTGATAATAAATGTGTTTAAGTGTTCCAGGTGCCTCCATGATCATCTGGATCTGTACTTTGTGATGCAAATGTCTCTTTTATTTCGGGAGGTTTTAGCTATCCAGAAGAAGGGACAGCGCCGGTTATAGATAATGATAGAGAACACACGATGAAGTTGTACCGTATTGACAGAAAGACAAGTGATAGTAAAGCGTATGGAAACCGAACACATACATATTTTAAAGTGCACTCTGTGAGCTGCCCCTACCAATGAGCGACTGAGTGTCCCTCGAGCGCCCTATTCTTAATAGACTACCGGCGCAGTTATAACACACATGAGCTAGAGCCCGAAGTGAAGATCGACTAGTAATAGTTTAAAGAATATTTAGGGCCTTAAGCAGGGCATATGACTAGATGTAGTTTTGCGAGGTTGATCCGGGGCGCGGGTGTCTGGCTGCATGTAGTTACACTGTGATGAGAAAGCTGAGAATGCATACTCACTATAAAGATCGGCAGACCTATTGAAACTTCTAGAGAAGAACCAGCCGATGGAATAATTGTAGCGACGGGGATGAGGTATTCACTCCCAATTGGCCTGACCGTCTCGTCACCAATCCCGCTCAGGAATTGGCATTGTCGAGTGATATTCTATGAGCGCATTACACGCACGGACATCGGATAAATATCCTTGAACAGGCAAAATGTGCGTGGACATGCTTATCAAATCGGACAGAGTAACACCCAAGACACCAATAAACCAGGTAAAGCTCGCCTCCGAGCTACATACCATGGGACAGAATAGGTATCGGCAGTTAACAGACAAGTCGCCGTTCGCGCCGCATTGGTGTGCCTTATTCTATTTAACACCCTACTCAGTCATCAATTGCCCTCTTTTAATCTCTAGGAGTGAAAATTCCTGCCTCTCTTCAATCTCTACCTCATCATTCATACCGTACCTTTATTGATGTTTGGAACTCGTGCTCCCAAGTTCACTCAGAAAGATGTCGTCGGTCTCGCGGGTAAAGTGTATTTGGTTACCGGAAGCACGTCCGGGATCGGTTTGGAACTCTGTAAGGTTAGTTAGTATTCGTGTCTATTTTTGAATCACCGGTTCACTAAAGCAAGCTTTATAGGTTCTATACTCAAAACATGCGACTGTCTTTCTCGCTGGTCGCAATCATCAGAATGGTGAAAAAGCCATCTCTGAGATACAGTCAGCTTCTCTGAACTCAAAGGGCACACTAAAGTTCATCTATGTGGATCTTTCGGATCTATCAACGATAAGACCTGCCGCCGAAGAAATTCTCGCGCAGGCAGAGCGATTAGACGTTGTCTGGCACAATGCCGGCGTTGCTAAAACCATAGCAGACCAAACAAAGCAGGTATGCCTCATTTTCTAGCCCAGTATCACAGACGTGTGATAACTAAGAGCTAAATAAAGAACAGGGTCTGGAGTTAAATCTATGTGTCAACACAATCGCACCATGGTTATTGCAGTCATTCCTGACTCCATTAATGTCAAAGACTTCTGAGATGCCTTCTACCCAAAAGGATACTGTGCGTGTAATCTGGGTGAGAATCCTGCGATCGGACCTACATCAGTACTTATTCTAATATATCTCAGGTTGGTTCATCGGGGCATAGTAACTCACCTCGCAATGGTGGAATTCTGTGGGAGGATATTAACTTCCAGCACGGTTGGCATGGGAATAAATTCGAAGCTCTGCTACGACAAGAGGGTACATTCTGGAAATATGGGCAAAGCAAAACAGCCAATATTGCCATGGGTCTCGAGGCAGCGAAGCGGTGGGCTGGGAAGGGTGTCCTTAGTCTGGTAAATTTAATGATAACAACAGTTTACTCAGTCTGGATATTATTACTGACGACTTAAATGTAGACTGCTGACCCAGGCTGGATAACTGATACCAATATACAGCAGGGTCACCCTAAATGGGTAATATATTGCACTGTGAGTAGGACTTCTTTTTATATCCTCCGGAATACGTTCCTGATCTCTAGATAGCGGTTATTCATGCATCCTATTGAGTGGGGCTCGATAAATTACCTCTTTGCTGGAATTTCTCCTGAGATTAGTGAGGAGAGGTATAATGGCAAATATATAATTCCTTGGTGCCGGATAGGAACATCCCCACGAGATGACATAAACAGAATGCTACCAGAGAACGGGGAGATGTTGTGGGAGTACTGCGAAGAAGTGTGTAAGGATTATATGCGATGAGGCTCCGTCTGTTCCGGTGTTTAGCTAATTAGAGCGCTGTATTTCGAATGTGAAAGTATAATACAAGACTGAGAGACATCTGGTTCGAGCAGGATTCCCTTTTTTCTAGCAGAAAGTGGCGGAACGAATAGATTGTCTTAGCAGGAAGTACTCAAGAGAAGAAAGGATATGGGGGTCTGATGAAACATGAATGAACGATAACGGGGCCGGCTAGCTAGGCGGATTGACCGCAGTTTGATTGTACTTGTTTACCACGAAAAGAACCAGAAAATGCGGTTGCTCAGGGCAAGGATTATTTTTATGGAGTGGCGGTGATCTCTCATTAAAACTATCTCTGTTTCCGTCACTTGCATTTTCTGGTTATCTTCGTGGTAAAGAAGTATAGTTGGTGTCTCTTGTCAGCAATCTATTCGTTAACTGCTAAAGAGAGCGAGCGTAGAAGAACACATGCATAACTTACTACGTGCGTGTATCATGTATGCAGCCTGAATAAAGATGGCGCAAACCAGGGTACATGTATGTAGTTATCTGGTAGGTACATGTAGGCCGTACATACTGTGATGGCTTTGTGTGGTCTACCTCTTGTGTCCAGGTCTTCTAAATGGCATAATCCTCGGGATTGTCCAGCATCTTCGTACAAACGTGTCATTGTTGGGCCGGGTCTGATCGAGCAACAAGGATGTGCCCTGATTTTGACCTGTCTAGATTCTAGGATCAGGATGCACATAGTGATGGGGGTGAGCCTGAGACTTCTTGGGAAACCCATGTGACTTTTGGTCTCGAGAATTGAGAGAAAAGTCTCAAGACGACGTCTCGAGAAATGAGAGAAAAGTCTCAAGACGACGTCTCGAGAATTGAGAGAAAAGTCTCAAGACGACGTCTCGAGACAGTGTGAACTAGGATAAGCGAGGTAATACTAGTATGTTTAAGGAAATAAGTGGGCCATTCTAATGAGAACACTCTCACAAAATTGTCTGTTATCATGCAATAATTATAAACGGTCAGAAAAGGAAGAGAACCTGGCGGAATGTTGACCCCAAGTGCCAACCCTTTTCCTATCAATTTCCACTGCTACTAAGGCTAGACTTACCTGTTATTCTTGCCATTGAAGTCTTTATGGCGGCGTATATTCAATACCGAATTGGATTAATATGGTTGCAACGTTCTCATGAGCTTATGGGAGCGGGCGATCATCATTGCTGAGAAATTTCACAAATGGTGAGTCCGGTCTCGAGCAGTCTCACCCCCATCACTAGACGTACACCCAACCCTTTTTTTTTTTTTTTTTGTTTAATTCATTAATTGCATGCAAGTACACCCAACCCTACTGCCAAGCTAGGTTCAATTTGCACAGCAAAGAGGTTCGACATATGGAAATTATCTGCTGAAAGAAAGAGAAAGAAAGAAAGAAAGAAAAAAAAAAGGATGACCTACAGGGAATCGAATCCAAATCTACAATTTTTACCTATCTATCACTCGAGCTCTGGGGTCCATTCACGTCTTACCTAGGCGTATTACCACTCTGCATGGGTGAGTACGAGACTAGAACCGGCGGCCAGAGTGACGAGGATGAAATACACTCGATTGGCAGGAAGGTCTTCAGGTACAGAAGCTGTTGCAAATTGTCTTCTTTATGAAAGCCAAGTGTTGCCTTGCATACATATATAATCTCCAGAAATGAGCAAGAGAGTCATATCCACTCCCACTGACTCGGTCCTCCCGGATCCCCGTCTTCAAAATCGCCAGCCAGGAGCCACACTCCATCAATTTTAAGCATAAGCTTAAGTTTAATATACCCCGCATAGATGAATGTGCCCCAAGCCAAGTGCTTGGGAAGCGACATGTTCGGGAAAATATCCCGACAATCCTTGCAGAAAGTCCTTATTTAGGCAGCTCCCCCCATCAGCACCGCCGGATCCACCACAAAGTCGGTCCGGAGGTTTTAATATCAAAGTTTCTCGGCGCTTCGGTGTGGGCATCGTGAAGAGCGAAAACAGAGTGTGCCAAGTGCGGATATCCCAACGAGCCAATGATACTGGTGCATAGAGAGACGAAGAGTTCCGACTTGGCTGTTCGCGATAGAAGGTGCAAAAGACGTTTTTAATAAACAAGTCTCTTGGCTCATTACTTTCCCTAGTTGAAGTTATTCACAACTACGGGTTTGCGGCCCGTTCGGTGGGGTATCCTGAGGCTTTCGCTCTGCCAGAAAGATATAAAAGCCCCCGAGGTTTTCGCAAACTTGTGAATCGGTCAAGCGCAATCGTGTCTATCTGATAATTGTATATCTCTATACCGGTACCTTCAATATGCAGCTCTCGGCCCTTCTTTCTCTGCTCGCTGCAGCTACGGCTGTCCAGGCACACGCCACCTTCGTGAGAGCTCCATCGACTGATATATTTCCACATGGGAGTACTCGTGGGACTTCAGAATTATTTTACCTTTTCATCCTATGAGCATACTCTAAGGACATCAGGTTCTATATACTGCTGAGTTCTTTGAGTGCCCCCGTATTTCTTAATATCCTAATATAAAACTCGACTAACCCGTCTACTAGCAATACCTCAACGACAACTCCGCGTACCTCCTCCCCCCTCTCACCTCCTCCTCCTTTAAACTCACAAACTAACCCACCGCAGTGTAATCCGCAAACCCCCGAGTAACAGCCCGATCCAAGATGTCACCTCCAGCGACCTCGCCTGTAATGTCAACGGCGGCACCCCCGTCGCCAGCAAGCTTATCGTCGCTGGTACGTAATATATCCCCCTCATAGTCCCTCCTAGCCCCTCTCTAAGCCAACACTCACATTCAACACCATAGCTGGCTCCACCGTCACCATGGAATGGCACCACGGCGACCGCACCACGCAAGCCATCGACCCATCACACAAGGGACCCATCTTGACATACCTTGCCAAAGTTCCCGATGCCACGACTGCAACTAGCCCCTCAAGCTTGAAGTGGTTCAAGATGTACCTCTTCCCTCCTTATCACCGGTACCTGGTGACTACTAGCTAACATACATACAGCTACCATGATGGTCTCACGCTCAGCGGCACCACCGAGACTTGGGCTGTCGACAAGCTCGTCGCCAACGCCGGAAAATACAGCCACACGATCCCCAGCAATATCGCCTCCGGAGACTATGTACTCTCTCTCCCCCACTCGTCTCTACACTACAGTACTAACGGTAGCTATAGTTGCTCAGATCTGAGATTATTGCGCTGCACGGAGCCGGCAGCACGGGTGGTGCGCAGCTCTACATGGGATGCGCCCAGATCACTGTTACCGGTGGTGGGTCGGCGTCGCCGGCGACAGTCAGTCTGCCTGGGTAAGTCCTCGAATGTGGGCGGGGGTTCAAATCTGTGGATATGTGCTAATGAACGGCCTGAAGTGCATATTCGGCATCGGACCCTGGTATTTTGGTCGGCATTTACTGGCCCAAGTTGACGAGCTACACTATTCCGGGACCAGCAGTGTACTCGGGATAGATACTGATTTTCATTTGGTGAATGGGTTCAACCAAGTGCGGGTAGATTGTTTGTGGTATATGTATGTAGTAGCAATGAAAAAAGTTGTGTGTATCAAATATCGAGAAACAGAGTGCAAGTAGTTTCAGTGCCATGCAGCATGCTAAACCGCTTTTATCGCTTTGAGAAGAGGAGCTTGAACAACCCAATCACAACATCGTTATCGCCCTAAATTCAAATCTAGAAATCTGTAACCGTTCACTCGTAATATATATACTGGGTTGGCGCTGGTCTCTCCAAAGACCTCCATATTTAACGCTGCCGCGCTTTTTTCTTCTGTTTGGTATATAAGGCAGATTGATTAATTTTCTAAGTAAAATTCTATATATAGTGGGGGAAATTATTAGGATAGCCAAGACTCGACGCCAAGCCACGTTGAGGTTTCATGGGCAAGAAATTTAACACACTTCGTGAAATACCTGGCCCAAACAATCTCCAAGGTTGTATCAGATGAGCCAATTTTCTTTGTCACGCTATGCATCTATCTCTACTCTAGGTGTTTGGGTCTAATGAGGCTTTACCGGACATGGAAATTCACGGTTGCTCACTCGATTACTAAGTTATAGTATCCCTTGAACGAATGAGACATTGTAAAATCTCTCTCATGCATTAGCGTGTTCCATAAAGGAAGTGATTGACTGAACTTAAGGCAGCATGCTGTGAAATATATGGCATACCAGCGTAATATAAAGACTGACAAACGCAGCAAGCTGTTTACCCGGACGTTTTCTCACCAAAATATAGAGATCACATGATATATATGCATGAGAGAGATTTTGCAATGTCTCATTCGTCCAAGGGATAGTATAGAAAACAGCGAGAAGCATTGAAAGAGGGAACGGTACCATTGCAAGATTGGTTGATTGATTGATTGATTGCTTCATTAATTGTACTTTGTGGGGTCTACAAAGTACAAATTAATGAAGCTATAGGGCTATAAAGATAAAAATAAAAACAAAAGAAAAAAGGGAAAAAAAAGCAGAAACGGACCAAACCTTGGCTCTAAGGCGCTGTGGTCCCGGCAGAATACCCAGTACCTTTCTCGCACGTGCTCCGGGACCAGTTAACATGATGTCTAGTTGAGAATGTAGGCACAGACCCGATGAATTCTGCAAAGCAGCTGTTATCCGTTAGCATCGTTTAGGACAAAGAGTTAAATAAGAGGAGTACACTCACCCAGGTCTACACCGTACATACTGGATGTTGGCGTACTCAAATGCCCTTGGCATGAGAAATAATGTCTCTACCGCGGACACTTCCATGCGGGCGCAGACACGCAGACCCAATGGAGTCTGCGAAGAAGCTGCTATCTTTTAGCATTTCTTGAGACAAAAGGATGATCAGGAAGAGTATACTAACCCCGGCCGCATCAGCATCGACAGGACCTCCGCCACCGCCAAACCTACAGCTCCTCACGCAGGCAGGCACAGACCCAATGGAGTCTTCGAAGAAGCTGTGATATATATATTAGAACTGCATGAAATTGAGAGAAGGAGATAATCAAGAACAATATACCAACCTCGGTCGCACCACTATATAGAATTGCCACCACACCGCGTCTTTACCCCAATGCGTAGTCAAGCATGGGGTAGAAGCCAAGTAGAAGGCTGGGAAAGTTAATTATGTTCTTGACTAGTGGAGGAAGAGGAATCTTTATTACCAGAAATTGTGACAGTAGATGTCATGATTGCAAATATAAAGAGCCCCCGCGGCCGGAAGAATGCGATTAGTCCCCGGTGCGATCGAATGGAGTCTGCAAAGAAGCTGCGATCTATTAGTACCGCTTGAGAGTAAATTATAATCAGAAAGAATATACTAACCTTGGCCACACTGCCATAATTATAACGTTACAACCATGCATAGTTGTAGGCAGGCACAGACCCAATGGAGTCTGCGAAGAAGCTGTGTTGACAGTGTAGTTTGTTAGTAACGTTCAGGACAAATAAAGTAGGAAGAAAAGTACTCACCTCGATCTTCCCACCCATATTCGTTTCGAACCCAAGTGTGCTGATCACCCCTGCATTCAAGTTTCCCCACCACTGCACATCTATGCAACGCAGCGCAGGCAGGCACCAACCCAATGAGTCTGTGAAGAAGCTGTAGTGATAGTGTGGTCTATTAGCATGTTCAAGATAAATAAAGAAAAAAGGAAATACCAACCTCGACCACCACCTCCCATATCGGCTTCTCGGCGTACTGGATTCCCATCTGGGTACATGTGTCCCCACCACCGAATGCCTGGGCAGTTTCAGGCCGGCACCGAACCGGCGAGTCTGCAAAAAAGCTATGGTCTATCAGCACACCACACATCTGTAGAATAATACTTAAGAAGGAGGAAAATACTAACCTCGGCCTGCACCCCACATTCTTGGTGCCCGAGGGACAGCCAGGAGGGGCCGTAATTTCCATCCTCCGCTCGTCAGCACAATAAAGACTCCGGCCCGGCAATAGGCCAGAGCGGGTAGCGGAGATGCTCATCCGTTTATCTATCCACCATTGGAGGGGCTCTTGTTTTACGTATTTGTTCGATTATGTTGGTTCGCTCGATGGAGCTTCAAGGACTGGGCGTCGGTGCTCCAGATAAAACGCAACATGCACCTAGATATAATCGAGTTGCATTCGTTGCACGCCAATTTTGTACGTGCGGAGGGGATAGTTGCAGATGCATTCGGTGTTGTTGATTCGTTCGATGGGTTGGATTTAAGGCCTCTGGATATCAGAGTAGCCAGGGCAGGCCAACCAAGCACGTAAACGGCTAGCTAAGTAACTTCCCTGCCCTATTGGCTACTGATAAAAACGGTTATGTTAGCTGAATGCAAATAGAACTGGTTAAAAAGAAAGCTCACACACAAGGGGATGATGGCAAATTCCATCGATCTTTCAAGACACGCAGCCACTGTCACCATATCAATCAGCAATGAAACTGAAGAAAGAGGAAAACATAAGTGAAATCAGTACATACCACACCCGAATAATTGAGAGGTCTGTCTCGATTCCAGACACTCAATCCCCCTCTTTTACCGCCTAGCCAGCCGAGGGAGAGATACATCCCCAATATGCATCCCATTCGCACCCCCCCCCCCCCCCCCGGGGGCATTGTAGCCATTAGGGGGCCCACAGGATAGCTGGTGGGTGGGTACCAGAGCCCTCCCATCTGGAGAAGTGCGTACCTTCCGACACTGTTGATTCGCTCGCGGGAATGGAGTTTCGTTACTTTGATCCTTTACCCTCCACCCCGACTGGCTGTGCACGGGCAAAAACACAGGCAGTCAATTGTCATATGGGTCTTTACAAGGGAGTAGGGAGGAGGGTCGAAGGATTGGATTCGATTCTGTTGATTCGATCGAGGACGAGAGGCTTGAAGCCTGAATAAAGGTTATCTCGATGAGATATAGGTAGAAGGGGATGAAGGCTCGATGAGAGGAAAGAGGGGGAAGAAGAAGCCGGGATAAGAGAAGTAGTGAGAGAGGGGGATTGATGGAGAAAAAGAGAGTTCTGGGACTTGATGTGGTGCGTTACAAAGGGCTGTGTACCGTCACTGACAAGAGTTGGGGGGAGGTGGGGAATGCAGCTTTGTGGACGGACAAAATGCATTATACATGTATTTACCCCGCCTGAGAAAACCCGACTGTCTATAGGAAAGCCAGGGGTACTCCCGCGTCTGCATGTAATAATCGAGATTACTCGACTACGCATGCGCAACCTTCTACAATATTCAGTACCCCAGAACCAAGCAGGACCATAATGCCCGGTATTGTTTACTAATCCCCGGACTGTCTAATGGATTTTTTCAGATAAAATTAGATATTTCAGCATGATAGAACTCCCATTGAACACTCGAGTATAGTGATGGGCACGAGACGAGACGAGACGAGACCTGGCTTAATCTCGTCTCGTCTCGTCTTGCGGAGATCCCAGTCTCGTCTCGTCTTGCGTCTGGTCTCGAGACGTCTTGCACTTTTACTAGAGAAAGTTCAAAACGGGACGAGACTTGGCTTGGTCTCGTCTCGTCTCGTCTCGTAGGGGTCCCGGTCTCGTCTCATCTCGTGCCCATCACTACTCGAGTATTATATAAAAAGACTGTGTAATAACAGGTTCATCTTCACTAGTTATTCTTTTGTTGTTGCGTGATCATTGGTCCGAATCTTCACAGGGTATCACTCGGTTGCACAACACATATGATGTGCAGATTAAATGTATAAAATGAACCGTAATCAAATTTTAAAATGAGTAAATTTATTTTACTATCGGATAAATTACATTTCACGACAAAATACCTGCTGTCTCTATTCTCTGTTGCTCTATGAATGGGTCGACTCTTCATAGAGTATCACTCGGCTCACACTAGCGCGGGAGTTTAATTGATTAATCAATTGATAATTCATTCATGTTAGCGCGAGATCCTTATCAGATGGAATATATAGAGTCAATGATACTCTCATCCTGTAAAAGTCTGTAAACACGTACGTGCATCCTATGATACGTAATACGTTAACGATTACATCACTGATATAAATTGATATAAATTCCCCCCCGCGATCAGTTGACAAAAAAGGAAAGAATAATGGTATGAATAAATGATAATAACTTCTAAAGACTTGTAGAACTTGTTTAAGTTGTTTATATTTATATTATCTATCTAATCACGCTCAGTGTTTTTGCCAGGGCCGATCGCGATGTCATGCTGTACTCCCTCTATTATCGATATCTTTTCAGGCCCCCCCCCCCCCCCCGGGGCTCCCAGAAATCCAATGCCATTGACCAGATGGCAATAGCCAAGCGCAAACACAGCCCCACCACTGGAAACATTCATTGCCTGCTTCAGCTACCAAATTATCAGCAAGGTTTATCAAAAATCAGCGGGCTAAACTGTCTATTTACCAGAATGCATTTCGAGTGCGGGCTGGCGAGGCGCCAACACCGGGGTTTTGTACCAGACTCCACCGAAATGGAAGTCTGTAAAGGATGTAGCCCACCGCCTAATCCTCGCCAAGGTACAGGAACACCTTTCCACCCGCGGCCGACCCCGCAGGGAGAATGTGCCCCGGGCACGACCTATACACACACAATTTATAAGATTAGTACTAACGACCGCGCAAACAACCATGATAAACCGAATTAATGGATTGGATTTGACTTACCGACGCACCAATATATTGGTGATCTCGTCGTTCCCGGCTCTAAGCAGCCTCTTGTGAACCCGTGTATCCCCGCAGCCCACGCACCCTATGAATAGGATGTGCTTTTCCTACAAACAAAAATTAGCCCATAAGAACAAACACAAAATACAAAGCAGTAGAAAGCTTGCTTTTGAGCCCCAGAATATATCTCCCAGTGCTGCGAGGACTGCAGAAGAATATGAAGGGCGAGGTTAGGACGAACCAACCCAGCTAAGCCCCCCCGGCCCAAAAACAGCAATTTTGCTATTTATGTATTCGGTGAGCGGGAGGGCTTGACTGGACTTGGCCTCGGAGAGGGAGCCTTGCTCCAGTTCCTCTCTCTTAGATGGATTAGTTGATAATTCTCACACAAAATCAGGAAGGAAATTACTCACCTGAACAGATAAAACAACATTAGTTGAAAATTGGAAGGAAGAAATGCCCCATACAGCCTTTCCACTCCAAGAGCCTATCAAAAATTCGATGAGATACTATTTCTACAAAAAATCGTCAAGTAATTTACTCACCGGAAAGCTGAAACGGGCCGAGAAGCTGCTGGTGCTCAGTGCATTCTAGTTCCGCCCCGTAAATATGGGGTGTTCGATGCTGTTGATTCGCTCGATGAGAGCCTTATAAGAATCTACTGAGAAAGAGGCTGCTTCTGATGGATAATAATGATAAAAATAAAAATAATAGTTTCCTAGATTGTGAGTGTGGGAAGGAGAAGGACGGAAGAAAATTAAGAGGAGCACATAAGGCATTTGGCAGCGTTTTCTTACGTAATCATAAGTGCAGACAGAGGCTTCAACGGGTTTGTTCTATTCCATTGTGCCTACATGTAGTTGGTCAACGAGCCGGCCTACATAAGTTCAGCCTTGGCCATAGTCAGAGCCGTAGGAAGTTAGACTCGTGCTCATTGGAAAAAAGTCAAGCTCTCAATAGCGACGCTCGAGCTAAATTATGAAATGACGGACTTATCGATGAAAAATAAGTCATGCTATCAGAAAATCTACCTAGAGCCCCCAGTCTACCCAAGACGTGAAGAAGTTAGGTCGTGGGGGATGTCTGCCAAAAGTAACCAACCCGCTGAGCCTGATCAACAGCCAATAACAGAGGCATACAAATAGCGCAATTAATCATGCACAAGCTAAAATCTCAAGTTTATTAACTGAGAAAGCTTAGGCCAATTCTATTCATTATCTACCTGAGCTCGTAGTACTTGAAGGAAATGCTCAAGTCGACTCGTCGACTACACTAATTGGGCCCTCATATCCTAACAGCCGAGGTGCTTCGTGTGCTGAAGTTTGAGTGATTACGCATGATTTTACATCGCATGTAGACTGCCGGATATATTTCCTATTGAATAACATGCCTTCCCCTAAGTACACATACCACCCAAATATAATCTCCTCATCACAGCTGTGGGGTGTTTGACGAAGCCTTGATTCCACTAACACCTCTAACCAACGGTTCGCTGCCTACCATGCCCATGCCCAGCCCTCCTTGCGTGCATCCACCCATCTCTCTCCCACAATGCACGAGCTCTCCCAGTAAGCAGCTATCAGACTGCGAGCGCTGCCCGAGTTTCCGCATCGCTCCTCAGTTGTGTACCAATCCTGACACACCAACAATACCAACATCCACTTTGTCTAGCGAGTAGTCTGTGTTTAATGAGTCGACTTTTCAGGTTTTCCGGAAAGTGCTTAAACTCATGGGTCTATCACATAACCCCGAGGAGAAAAAGAATTAAATAATAAATGGTTTCGAGACTAGTTAGCCCCTAACTCTGAGTTACTTATAACGCTAACTAGCTATTTCATCATACAGGGACTCGAGCCCTGATTGCCCAGGGCACCCCGACTGCTAGATCTATGAAGAGATAAAAACATATAATACCGGTTTTAGCCAGATCTAAACCTTGATGGTTCCTTGCAGATCGGCTGCGCGCAACTTCAGATCAGATTGATTTGGCACAAAGGGCACCCCCGAAGTTCGAAATCATTGGTCAAATCAAGGGAGGGGCCAAGAAAAGTGTGGAACCAGAAAAAACTACAATACCGTATTTTCTACCAGAAAGCCGTGCGCCCCAGGTGCTAGATGGGGTGGGTATTAGTACCGCAGGCGAGTTGATATAGCCAGTCACGCACCTGAATCAGTTACGCGAGTTTCCCGGGTACGCCACCGTTTGCGTATAAACTACCTGCGATGCTTGGATAAAAGCAGAAGAGGCGATAAATTCCCGTCGTATAAAACCAGATTATGCCGATGCCCTAGTTTTAGCACTTGAGGCAAAAGTAGTAGGTAACACTCGAGTCGCATGCTATTGCCTTCCAATCATTGTCCTACGCAGGATTTATTCCGTTAGTTCAGCTCTTATGCACACTCTCGATATTAATGTATGCACAATGCTTTTTCTTACTACGTCATTAGGAGCTATCAGCGATAAATACCAAACGGAACCTACGATCCACCTGGGCTTTATCTGGCTTCCATGTGCGCAGATGGTCGTCTGCCAGGGGTGCCTCAAGATAAAGTTATTTAATTTCTTTCAATTATGCTACCCCAACACCTCATCTCATTTGCATAAGCTCGACATTGCCTAAGCTTGTTGCAGGATGCTCCTGTACGTAGTATCTAATTGCATGTTTATTCCCGAATTTTTGACTTCTCTAGTAACAATGCTTCTAAATCGTTAGTCTCAAAAGTATTGGTCCTAGCTGTGAACTGACCTCGTCTACCCTGGGAGTTGGGGTCTCAAGCCCGGATTGCCGTTCGACCATACGGTATTCTACATATGCACAGGCGACATGCATTTATGCATGTGCCACAGTGGAGACCCGCGAGTTTGACAATCTCGTCATCGCACTACTCCAGATATAACCAAGTCAGATTTTAAATCTCCCTCCAGCTCGATCTTGATGCTGTCGTTGATCCTGGAGAGCGAATTCTCGGGAAAAGATACCGTGAGATCTCCCAAACTGTTCCTGAAAAAGTTGCCGCACTGGACGTTCATAAAAGTGCCTATATGGAGAAATTACATTAGGAAATGTATCTCCTGGTAGAATCTAGGAAATAACCTTGACTGTGAACCCTCCCCAAGTTCTGCTGCCTCGGCATCCCCGAAATGCAGTGAAGGTTAACTGGACTGCGACGTTTCTAATGGCCGGAAAGGGGCCAACCGAAGAAAAAGATAAAGAAGCATGGAATACAGTGATAAGAATAATCTAAGTGCAATTATTGATGCATCCTGGACCGCAACCGTAATTTCAAGAAAAACTACTGTGCCCCGTACTGCACTACTCCCACCCCCGATTTGAACCCAGATCCTAGGGATCAAATACGCGGTGTCAAACCTGACGAGCAGTCTCACTGTATTACCCACTAGACCACTTGTCTATGGTTTGAAAGCGCGGGAAGTAATACTTGAGGGCGGCTGATGACGAGGCTAATGCATGCCCTAGTACTAGCAGTATCAGTACAGTCGAATCTCCCTATAAGGGTATTCTCGGGACTAGAACAGTACAATATATGCACACTAAGGATATGAAATGGGACACAACACCAACGCCGAAGAAACTACATGTACATGTGGCACAAGCTCAAGATACTTTTGATTTTGACTGGGTGTTCAGCATTGACTTAGCTTCCCACATGATCTGACCTCATCTTTGAATTAACAGGATCTCGATCTTGGACAGTACATGTATGTTCCATGAAGCAGAGGTACTTCAAAGCGGTCTTAGGAGTATTCTCCCACGAGAGCTGTGAAACCTGATATAATATATTCTGCTCTGAGCGAGGTACTCAAGGTCTTGCATCGAGTAGTAAACGGGTTTTGAGAATGATTATCTAAGCATATCACCCCCCAATTGAAGGTTTCAAAATGGTTGTCAAATCTCGAGAGGAAGCTTGAGACGTACAGGAGGACAACTGAGGGCGATCTGAGATAGCCTCCTTCTATCTACCCTGGCGTCTTAGAGACAAAAAGATTTCCAATAACATAATAAACGACAGACAATTGCAACGATATCCGATCGCGAACGGAGCCTAAACATCACAGGGATACCCCAGCCTTTTGGCAAAAGTTAAAGTTGAGTCCTCATCTCTTCCACTGGTTTCACCACTCCCCGTGCTATCACAGTATATGCAGAAGCCTTACACTCTAGCTCTCCGCTTCGTCAGCTGCAGTCGTCACCAATATCGATCTGCAAGCGACTTACTACATGTACCCAGGGTGTTGGAAAGTGATGCACATTTTGGTTTGACAAAGGCCAATTACCCCAAATACCTATATTTTGGCGCAACGCAACACGCTCCCTAAATTCAAATTTCGAGTGTAGGGCGTCTCCACAATGGCTGAGAATTCATCTAGTGCTAATTGAATACAAAATAGCCGTTCTTCAAGCAAGAAGTCACTATCCAGTAGCGAAAATCAGTGTTAAAAAAACCAAAAAGTATCGATGACAGACTTTTTTTATTTATTTTTCTTATGAAAGGAATCTACACACTTAAATTAACCTCAAGATAGACTTGTGTACAGATTAATTCTCTCGTGGTTGAGATATCACCCAATGTGCATCATTTTCCGACACTCTGGGTATTATGGTTGTCAAAATTATCCGGACGTTCGCGTCGCAACCACACAGATTAGCTAGAATGACCGATTTTTGAAACCACTTCAATTGACTTCATATTGAAGCTTAAGATAATAGAGGTATAAGAAATCACAGAAATCAAATCTCTTGTACTCTTTCCTTGTGGTTGTGGAAAAAGGCGACGTTGAAATTGAAAATTTGGTTGCAACAATGTTCGGATAGTCAACCGTAATACATACTTCATACCAACCGCCCCGTGACCTTGCCGAGTGACTTCCCATGACACCACACCACACCACCCCACACCACTCCAAAACTAAAACCAAGCCACCACTACCAGGTAAGGTACATTTCTCCAAGCACGAAATTCACCTCCCGACGACCACGAGTACCCCTAACTACGGTTAAATCATATTACAATCAGGGTAAAATTACCCCGACAAGAGACCACCCCTGTCCATCACAAAATATGATGAGAGATCGTGCACCCATGTCATCCTCGGTTCCCGATGCCCGTCCTCTCCCTCCCCCACGAAATATATAGCTAGTGAGCTTGTATAATGATCATCGTTACCTATGGCAGGTATCTTAAGCGGATTATTTTAGCCCAGCGGAAGCCCGAACAGTGGGTTTGTGGGTACAACTTGATATATATGCGGGAGCTGGGTGTACCGGATCGCATGTTCGGAGGGTCTCCCCGTCTCCATATACAACCCTCTACGAATAGATATCTACATGGAGTTTGTAGAGTTCTTTTTAATATCCCACTCAGGATGTTTGGTTACCTCTTGTTATTTCGTACTGAATATTCAGGTACTTGGCTACTACGTATATCAAATCCGGAATTTGGGTTCCTCTAACACTTGGCTATAGCCCGAATTCCAATTGTGAGACAAAGCCACACGTACATATATGGCAAACTTGCTCCAATAAATTTCTTAAATATTCCCTCTCAGTAAATGTTTATGGCACGACGCTAGAAGGGTATAACTAACAACCAATCTAAGGGAATGAACAATCATGATCATGAAACTTATTGGAGCGCAGTAAACATTTATATCGGCTTCGGTATTCTAATTCGGACTGGTTATCTAATTGATACGTTCCGTTTTTAGTTTGGCGCGGGATGTATGACCGGATGCGTGCCTGATCTATGATGAAATATCGTAAGATTTTTTCTCTCTGTCGTTCTTTGCTGGATAGCATACCTACATAACCCCATACTCATCCTTCCCTCCGGCGTAGCTACCCCAATGCTGTTTATGCACCCCTCATTGCCCAATCTTGATTAAACGATAGAACGCAGGAACACAAGAAGGTAAACCAAGCTTATTCCAACACTTCGAAGCTTCTTAAGATTTTCTCGCTCCCTTGGATTTCCATCTGCCGACACCACTCTACATGCTAAATAGATGGCAATTCTCGTATTCGATACCCCCATGGCTATGAATTAGTAACTCGGCCTTGATTTTGCTGAGTAAATTGCATTTTGATGCTACACTGCATCTGTTCCGGGGGACATGGACCGTAGGTAGTTAGTGGTGGATAACCACTTCTGGATGGACGCGTGTCAATTCCGCACACAGGATAGCTATCATCCACGGTTGGTTGTCAGTCTAGTGCCCAGACCTGTTTTGATTTGAATGTGTGTCTCCACGAAATGCGACAACAAAACCAGTCTGGGAACGAGAGACTAGTTAGTTGGTAGCATCGATAGTGATAACGATCAGTATGTGATAGATACCTATTATCCACTCCTCTCCCCCCACGCTAATTAGCACAGTTATTTCTGTCGTTTAGCGAGATTCATCGATATGACTAGCTAGTTTTGACCGATCTGAGGTCGTACATAATAATCATTTAGGCCTGAACTCCCGGCTATCAATCGGCCAACCAGGTGGGTTTCCTCAAAATCAATCGTGCACGATGTATGACGTCTTTAATTCATACGGAGGAATGAGTTTCTAGAGGACCTTTTCACGTGGGGTGTCACTAGGGTGAGCTGTTTTCTCCTTGCCCCAGTCGAAAACTCTCGGCCCGGATCGAGAGATCCCGGATAGATGCTTCAAAAGAGAATACTAGGATAATTACTGGTCCTGTGAGTTTTAACCTTTAGTTTCGCAGAGGCTTAGTGAGATAAAAGTAGCATACAGTCGTTTCTGGGTCAACGACGAACCCGGCTCGATGACGAGTGGCTACTTTTTGGGCTGATAGTCAGTCAAAGCAAAGGGGTCGGGGCGCCTTTGTTGGCTTTTATTGGCTTCGATTGGCCTATTCGCCATCGAACTGGTTTCATCGTTGACCCAGAGACGACTGTACTTAAAATATTCTGCTATGGCACCTAGTTAGGCCGACGTTGATATGTCTGTAGGAAGCGCGGATTGACCTTCCATACCATCTGAACAGATCCTAACCTTTCTCGGGTATTAAATGATCTAAGATCAGGGTTTAGAAAATCCCCCACTCCGGCTCCGATGCAAAGGCGGTAACTAGCATTGCCTTCCAGGCATTGTAATATAGAATGTAGTTCCACAGCAGGGGCACCTGCAGTCTAGTAAGAGCCGTGTTTACTGGAGTCTGTATTCTTGCTGCAGCCCTCACCACATGTCAAACAGGACTCCCCCAAAAACGCAGATTCTTGCTGGCTTGATATCGAGAAATAATTATGAGGTCGAGGGGGCATATAGCACCTCAATTTTTGATTCAACGCCGGGTGTACGGAGGAAAAAACATCTATTATCATGGTTAGCAAACTCGTTTTTTTCGAGAAATGTTTCTCTTACGAAAATTTGACCACATTTAGAACAACTTCTTGCGTGGAGGTTGGTATTTTTTTAATGAATGGGCGGTAATTATAAAGTGCATTGCAGTTTGAAAACACAAGGTTTGCCATGTCGTCTGTGCCCAACTCATTATCTATTGAAGTTATGATCGACAACCGGGAATTCGAAGATACTCATATAGCTCATGGATCCTTATGTTTGTCAAATGGATTTAATTGATCCTTTGAATAATCGTCGATTGGGGTTCGGAGTTTCTCCATAAGTCGGCAAATGACGCTATGCTAGGCACACTACGCATAGAGTGCCCTGAAAGGAGAACGTGTACTATCGCACTAGCATCTGACAGGTGTCCAACGCCTGTCAAAACTAGCCCAAAGCCCCGTTAACTTCCGTTCCCGTAGCCCGATGAGCAGCCGTTGAATCAGTGGTACCAGTGGCGGTGATTTAGAAGAAAGAATTTCACTACAGAACTCAAATTTCTTTGTTGTGACAAAAGAGTTAATTGTATTTCTTAGAATGTCAACTTTCGTCGTCGCCGGTGAAATCGACTCACTTGCCCGGGTTTAATTCAAGCGCTCAGTTGGGACTAAAATGTAGGGATATTTGTACTAGTCCAGATTGAGATTTAATATTATATATGCTAGTAACAATGTGGGACCCGGGAGCTCGCTTCAGGTCCCAATAATGACGATCGTTTGGTAGATGGTTAGAATCCTTGTTCATGAGAGGAACGGATGAAGAGTAGAGGAAAATAACAACGGCCTACGTATATTCAACGCCGCAGAGACCGAGCGCAGTTATTCCCTGGAAGTTTTGTGGGCGCATATAAGGATACATATGCCTTTGATCTTTACATGCACCCTTCTCGAATTAAGCTTCTTTCTTCATTCGTGAGTTTGCACGTATTCTGCAACATGCATTTCCCCGGTCTTTTTCTCTCGTTACTTCCCTTCATATCTCTTATTACAGCTCTTCCTCAGCCAGAGTCAAGCCTCGAGGATAGTCAGCTACTCGATCGCGATCTTGATATTCCAATCATTAGCGATGCTCTCGTAGCCCTCGATGATCTCGTTGGAGGAAAAATCCTTGGCGATATTGTCTCATACCTTCTTCTGAATCCTCTCACCAGTGCCAAATTCCCCGGCCTCACCTCAGTCCTCCAAGGTGCTCAGGATAAAAATGTCACTTGCGAAGAATTTAATCGGGGCCTGCTCTCTGCAATTCAGCTGCATCCTGCCTTCACAAAGGCTCATAATGAGCTGGATCCGGATCTGCAAGAGAAAGTCACCGCGTTTATCAGTGGTAAATCGGCCTCTAGCATCATAGGAAAGAGGGGTTTCTACATTCCTCCTAGCCCAGCTGCGAAACAACACTTCAAACGAATGGAAGAATCCGGAACCACGCCAATTTCAAGGCGCTGGTTGAATGCAAAGAGGGATACAAGTCCTGTTATCTACGAGGACACAAGTAATTCAACATCTCCCATGACTGTAAGTCATTCCAAACCTCTAAATATAAGTATAAATCGAGTACTGACCCCTCAGGTATACGTTGCTGCCGAGTTCGAGAACTGGGGTCTCACAGTTTCCAACACTCCCGCATATACCTTTGTCCCCACCACGGTTAAGGGACTGCAGAACCTAATCACCTGGGCAAAGGCTCAGAAGCTTAGGGTACGTGCTGCTGGATACAGACATACCTGGGGCGATATGTATTCCGAAACTGGTCATGTGTTCGTATCCATGCTAGATACGAAGACTGCAACTACTGTTCCTGACCCTTCATCTATTCTCCCGAACGCCGCCTCAAATGTTGCAAATGAATTCAAGCAGATTGAACTAGCATCAGAAGATGTGTCCGGCTCCGGTGGGAAGAAACGACTTGTGAGACTCGGTGCTGCAGTAACAAATGAGGAGTTTAGAAGATGGGCTATTGCGAATAATGCTTGGACGGTACCGGTTAATGTTGTCATGGTTGAGTAAGTCAATTCTTTCTCGGAGGAAATAGGTTTGTGGTAACTAATATGATATCAAAACAGAATCACATATGGGGGTTCGAATGCGCCTATCTGCCATGGGGGAGGAATTCAGCATAAAACGCTCAGTGACCTTGTTCGTCAAGTTGAATATGTTGATGTCAACGGAGTACATCAAACTGTATCTGATCCAGCTCAACTCAAGGCTGCCGCTGGTGCCTTCGGACTTTTGGGTAAGTCTAGTATTAAATAAATACGCTATGAGACTTTTTATTGAATTTAGCAGGTGTCGTTACCCATGTAACACTTGAGCTAGATTCTATGACCTACGCCAACATGCAACCAGCTAAGCCCGAAATTGGCCTTACAATTCCACCACCCGAGGGATATACCGTTCCAAAGGCAATCAGAGAAACTTACACTGATGCACAGCTCGAGGAAGCAAGACTAGACTGGATTTCCAAAGCTGAGAATTCTTACTATTCGGAATATTTTTGGTTTCCTTATCAGGATAGAAGTTTTGTCAACGTCTGGTTAGTACCCAATATTAAAAGGTGAAAAGCAAATATACTGATTTTTGCATCCTAATTTAGGAATAATACCGAAGACTCTACAGGAGCCATCGATTATCCTTCTGCCCCCGATCAGTTCAACCAATGGATCCAAGGATGGCTCGGAGGTGTCATTAATGATGATCTACTTTTCCGAGCATTCCCGGGGCATTGGCAGGCCGTTATACTCTGTAAGTCTTTCTTTACCCTACATAATTAATCAACCCTAATTAGTTGTCTATGTAGCCACCGCTGCAATGCTTGGTCTCCCAGACTCAGATGTCAAAACATACCTAATCGACGCCATCCACTTCCGTCGTGGTGTCCAAAACATGCGAGTCCGGGACATTGAGCTTCAGATCCCAATCCCAGCGCTTGCAGATGACCCAACTAAGCCTGATTGGACAGTGGTACAAAAGGCATGGTGGGACGCTATAGAGATTGTCTATGCTGACGAAAGTGCACCTATGAGAATCGCGCTTGAGTTGAGAATTATGGGCGATAGTGATATAATCATGGCACCACAAACAGGAAACAGTTTTGGGACAGCTAGTATTGAAGTGTTGACCACCATGCCAGCTGCAGATGATGGCTCATGGGCTCCATTCGCCCAAAAGATTGCAGACAAATGGATGAGCTATACAGGACCAAATGGAACGTTGATCAATACTCGCCCGCATTGGGCCAAGGAATGGTACGTATTTCCACCATGAGGGCTTGTTCTTTTTACTAACAGAACTTTATCAATAGGCAAGGAATGACAATCAATGGTACTGATTGGAAACAATATCTGAAGGACGTTTCATACAAGGATGAGATTCCTCAGTTCTTGAATGTACTTGGTGAGATTGGAGCTGAACAGGGCTGGGAGTTGAAGGACTTGAAGGAGCGCTTCTCCAACCCCTTCTTAGATGATATGTTCTTCGAGTAGATACTTTTTCTCTAATCTTCAAAGGGTCTATCAATAATTAGCTAAAGAACTTTATAATATAATGTCGAGGTTGCAGGTTTTGTAATTGCAGAAATAGTTGATTAGCCCATTGCTGTTTTCTTATCCTAAATCACAAACACGTATATCGTGGGATATAAAGCCGCTTGCGAACTATATTATGTCCCTAAATACCGAGCGTGACCTGAACCCTGGGAGAGACATAAAGAAGCTTCGTGATATTCCTAGTAGAATTTAAATATCCTCCAACCTCTCCTATCATTGATGAATTAGTAGAGTAGCCGTGACTTCCGCAATTTAAATTATACATGCGCCGACAGGGACTCAACAATGATGGTCAAAGGTTGATATGAAGTTACAATCGACAACGCAGCAATGGTTGGATCAGGACGATCGATAATCTACAAGCACATGTAATATTAGTATAGGCAGATTGGTAGGCCCATTTGCCGAAGTCAAAAGAAACTTAGCTTAGTTGATCAAAGAGATACCGAGAGATCGAGATAGAGGGATCCGGGAGTTGTGATCTATATAGACTGGCAACTTATCGCGAACTGTATTTCTATTCCATTACTGCTAGAGTGCATATTAGTAGAGTATAGTACGTTCTCTTATACCAACTTGCTTCACGGCTACGTACATGCTCGTTCCCGTCGGATTCCATTTGCTAGGGGTCGGGAGACGATGAGAGCAAGGCTGTGCCAGAGATTACAACAAGATATTTGTCACAGAGAACTTTTTTATTTTACGCCCCAAGAATCATTGGCTAATGTAGGTACAATGTGGAAATTTCTGCAATTATCACGAGCCATAAGGAGTGGCCATGGATGCCGACCTACTAAGGTAAGCCAAACTTAATCTGGATGTAAGCGACCCTGCTTGCAAAAATATAAATCGATCAGCACTGATAATGAATGGGTGGTCGGGATTTGCACTTTACCATGCATGCTTCCCGAAACTCTATTGAGAGCCTATTTAAATTGTTCCCGGCCCCTTGTGCCGGGTACAGCACCTAGATAGAGAAATGATAAAAGTCCCAAGTGATGCAATGCTACTCTCTGGATCTCACAGCAACAAGTGCAAAACAAACAAAACCGACACAGAAGAGCTTATCTGTCTTTGGATCCGAGATTTTTCTCCTCGCATCGAATCATCATCCAAGACCTATTTATGTCCACAAGTCTTACAATCCAAAACCCGGATAGAACTCCAGAAATATTGCACCGTAAAACACAAGGAAGAAGAATAATCTTGGGTAATTGAATGTGGAGTGGTAGACTGCACTGTCCCCTTAATTCCTCAAGTCGCTTTATCGATTTGTAATCGCTTCCTTTCACCACAACTTTTCTGCTGGTTTTTGGAATAGAAGTTAGTAGAATATACCCAAGCACTCTAGCTCCCCCCCCCCCCCCCCCCGTGTCTGCCACGTTAGGGCGAATGGACATCTGCTCGCTTTCCCGTCCCCTACTCGATTGACCTCTTATCCGAGCTTGTAGGTCGATAATCACTATTGCCTTATTGATCGTCCTGCTGGCATCCTTCTTCGCGGGTTGATGCACTACATGCGGCATTCGCCGCGGCCGGTCGGTCGGTTAGTTGCACGGCGTCATGCATCCTCACTCGACCCGGGCACAGAGGCTCGCTTCAATAACAATCTGTTGTCCCTACATTTAAAAGGAGTAATTTTTCGACATCGTTGTGGTTTATATATCCACATATGAATTCTTTAGTCACTAGCTTGATGTATGTATGTAAGTACATGGTTTTTTGGGGTACAGGGTACAGGGGAATTTTAAGGATGAAGCATATTATGTTATAATTATGTATTCCGCACAGATGCCCTGGAGATACATGTGTGTGTACCGTGCGTTGGGCCTTTCTCTTGTGTTGATTGGAGCTGAGTGTGTAGTAGAGCAGACTTACAGGGTTATGTGTAAGGTGCAGGATGTTGTGGGACGGTGACATACATGTAAGTATCGTAGGACGGAAAGAACTGGAGTATTTGAAGTAATACTTCTTGAAGAGGGTATGTATAAGTCGGTCACAGGGGGAAACTGAGTTTGATTCCCACTCGTTGGCTGTAGTTAAGAGAGGTGAGGTGTGTACATGTATGTTTTAACTGGAGGGAGAGGTTACATCTTAACAACGAAACAAAGTTTATTGCTCCAAGTGGGCCGCTAGCAGTACCTGGGATGAGCACGCACCACAGGAGTACAGGTAGTCACCCAATGGCCGAGTCACAACTAATACAGAGTTACATTTGGTAAACACCTTTGTCAATCACCACCTCGATTAAACCTCCTTTTATTGATTTCGACTTAGTCTCTTCACATGTAGGCACACGTGTACTTCATCGGTTGTTTGTACGAACATAATCAAATTTGCAAAAGAGATCGCCAAGGTGCCAAACGAAAGAGAATCCCTTTTTCTTTTTCTTTCTTTCTTTTACTGGTCATCAGTACACCCCCCCCCCCCCCCCCAGGTACTTCTACGTCAAAGATCTCATCCTCAAATTTGTTAGAGCAGCTATGCACCCTAAAGATTTACAACGTTATTATAGCTTCCGGTACTTCGAGCCGCACAAGTACAGAAAACCACTCAAGACTAAGTCGGTAGTGGGAAGGGCCCAGGCAGCGTGCAAACCAATGGTATTAATCATTAGCCTCACCAATGTGATATGAGATGGAAATTTGTCACCATATGAATGCAGGAAAGGAAGCTTCGGAGTTTATGGCTCCCCCAGTATTGTGGGGTTAACCGTTTCGGGGCTTGATCACAAAATGAGAAACAGCTCGGGAGATCCCCCGGCTACCCACCACCGGAGGGGTTCAAGGCCGTCTCAAGAGAATAACATCGTTGTACTGAGAAGGGATAACCTACGATTATATGGATCATAGATCGATGGAACTTCAATACCTAGTTGACCTGAGATTGTGGGAGAAATTGTACCTTGAAGTGGGTAAAACTACCCGCTACACGCGCCCCAATGCGTGGAAATACGATAGGAAGCTCTGTGAGTAGTGTCCTTACGATGCACTTTACCTCCTTTCAGTAGTTCTGTGCAAAGGACCGTCTAATGCTCTAGGCTGTGTCGATCACTCACTAGCTACTGCCGTGTCCGTTGGGGATTGCATCTACCACGGTTTCTCCATACCAAGCTATGACTGTCAAGCATTGAATTAGAGTAAGGCGCTCGGCTGCCATTTAGTACTCTACTCTAATATGAATACTATGGATCTACCATGTTAGGGAAGATATGCATTGTATTAACTATGCGTATGATTATACATGAATCCTCTGCCTGCATACACCATATCAAGGATACTTTACTCAGCTGTGCTGAACTTATTCCTGAAGCCTCAGCAAGAAAACAGGAGCCCCCAGATATATTCTGTTCTCCGAGTGGCTGCTCCACAAGATCCACAATAAGCCACACGCCACAAGCCCGCCTATGTATTCATTTATCAACACAAATCCAACTCGTGCACTCTCACACGGCTAGCAAGGAACAATCCAGTTCCTTCAAGGCTGAGGTGTGTCGGATCGATATCGGAAACCTCGCGAATCGCAACCCTGCTTCCCCATCAACTCAGCAGCCAGCCACGTCAAGTAGGCAAAGGAAAAAAGTTACTACCCATCAAAGTGCGTTTAACTAGTTCAGCATTCCGTGCAACAGCAACCCCTTCCAATCCCCCAAGCCCCACACTCAGGGCAAGGTCAACCCAATGAAACTTCTAAACTGTACTCGTCTCCGAGCCAACCGCGTTTATGACACCTAACCACCATCGACTAAGGGGCGATAAAGTGGGCGGGAAGCGCAGTCTTCTTCGCTCCCCCAGTTACCCCCGCTTTTATATAAATCAGCCACGGTTCCGGTCCCTCGGTAACTACTGAACTAACCCCTGGCAATTATTCTCCTACCCAACGCACCGGCACTCCAATAGGGTAATTGGGCCACATTATCGTTTTCAATTGCACAATTTATACAGTTGTTATTGTCTGAAGCAATGTCAAACATTACCCCCGAGTCTTTGGTGTCGTATTGGGACTACGAAGATGGAAACGATATTATCACAGCTGATGTAAGCTCTGACTTGAGCATACTCTCAGAGTGGCTTTATGACTTTTCTCTTCCGTCCCATGTGAAATAGCGATAAACTAAAGGCTAACTATGTTTTTGCGACTGGGATAAATAGTCGTTTGACAGCGACTCGGCATACGAGGATGGCGGGTATTTGATAAAACCCCTACCGTTCGTTCTGGAACTCACTATTGGACTATAAATCGGCTGACACATACTAGCGATAGGCCAGTCGAAGATTTGACGCTTCTTTCCCATGAGAGAGAAAACGTATGCAAGTATGAGAATGGGAGAAGATATCATAGGTATCATGAAGGACGTATGTATTCACGTGTACACCTCAACTATCAGCAAGCCCACCACACCCTTTATTAACGGCTTCGATATATAGAATACGCTTTCCCGAACGACAATGTATGATTCAATCGCTTCACTGATCTTGCCGTGAATCTAAGATTCGAGATTGCTAACCTCCTTGATAGCAAGAGCTCGAACGAATGGAACTACATCATCACATCTCGACCCTGGCCTTTGGAGGTAAACTTCATTTTTCGCCCATTACCACCGGTGAGGGAGACCATTCACCGATTCTAGATCTTGGATTTGGGTCAGGTATGATTGTTCCCCGAAAGCCCAACTCTTTATGAAACAAAACTAACAAACAGACTGCTAGGAATTTGGGCTGCTAGTATGGGTATAAAAAAACCTGTCTTTGACTGGTTTATATTGGCTGTTGAGACCTATAGCTAATCGATCGACAAAGCCGAAACGTACCCTCACTCGCAGGTGATTGGAGTAGATCTCAGCTGGACGGAGCCACTTTGGTAATTATAAAACCTATACTTTCTATTTCCTGTATAAAACTCATTCGCATTCCAGGTGTCCGCCTAATTGCAGGTTTGAAGTCGACGACTGTGAGCATGACTGGCTTTACAAAAAAGATTATTTTGAACTTGTACACATCCGGTATCTCAGTGGGTCGATACGTGATTGGGACCGTTTATTCCAGCAGGCATACCGGTATATATTGTCTTTAACATTAATTCCTCACTATTATATATTGTTTTACTTATTTTCCTTTTAGACATACACGCCCCGGGGGCTGGATCGAACTACAAGAATCTGACATCGAGCTCTACTGCGATGACAACACGCTTCCGCCTGACAGCATTCTTCTGGAGTGGTTCGTCCTGATGAACAAAGCCGCCACCGCCAGCGAGAGGCCCTTCATAAAAACGCAACTCTTCAAGTCTTGGCTTGAGCGCGCATGCTACGTAGATGTGAAGGATAAGCTATTCAAAGTACCAATCAATCAGTGGCCGAAAGACAAGAAGATGAAGGAAATTGGCCGCTATGAGACATTGAATGTTGCTGAAGGGCTCGAGGGCTGGAGTATGGCATTGTTTACGAGGGTATTGGGATGGGAAAAGGACGATGTTCTCGTATATTTAGAAAAAATAAAAAAGGAGTTTAGGAATAGGAAGGTGCATGCGTATTGGTCGTTGTAAGATAAATATCTCCCCGAGTTCTTTCATGAATACTGATGAGGTGATAGAAGAGTTACCTACGGGCAAAAACCTATGGACAGTAGTACCTAATTGCGGCCGGCGTGAGCGTTTCCTTTCTTCCCTAGTTCTTAAAACTGTATATATCGAAGCCGCTACTATGCTGCTTTAAAAAAACACCACAACAAAATATTTAGTTAAGTTAATTGGTTAATTGGGTAGTTTTTTCTTTTTTCTTTCTTTCTTTCATATCGGGGTGGGGGCCGGTACATAGGGCTATGCATGGGTTGTACAGTCACACCTCCCTATCTCGTAATTCGATATCTCGGATCTCTTGCTGTCTCGTACGAATTTGCGGGACAGGTACTGCCCTTCTCCACCAAAAACTATTTGCTGTCTCGTATATTTGCTATCTCGTAGGGGTTTGGCTCCAGAATACGCCAACGACATAACGAGGTGCGACTGTAATTCCTTTGAGACCTTTCAATATTCTACATACATATATTAGTGGGTTATTTTGTGGTTTTGTGCATGGTGGCGTTGAATTGGGTATATATTATTTTAATTTAATTCATTAGTTGAATTTGACTAAAAACCGTATTCGGCCCGGCATATGAATTCGGCATGTGGCTTTCCATAAGATGTACTTCACTCTACCTATCGGCTCACGGCATGGAATGTGTGTTCGGGTTGGTGATCGGCATAAAGCTTCTTCGAGGTCGCTCATATCATAGATAGAGTAATGATATTAGAGGCTTTCAGTTGACCTGAATTTTCATCAAAGTGAAAGGGAAACTCATGCAGCTAAAGTTGCGTCTGCTTCTGCAGCTGACATGTCACTTTCTGGTAAATACTCAATGCTAAATATTCCGTCCTCAATTATTTCTCGGTCTACACCTACAGGATGCCTTTCTTATCAATAGTTTAACGCGCTCAGGACAGACTCTTGGCTACAGGAGTTTCCTTTTCACTTTGGAAATAACAGGGATCAACTGAAAGCCTCTATTGAAATTTGAAATTTACCACACACCTGAGCCACTAACGCAGCACCGGGGATGTCCGACCGGCTGACTGCCTGTCTGTCTACACAGCTAGCAGCTGATCTCATACCATATGGCTCTTTAACGAAAGGTGGCGACGATGGAACTTCCCAGGGCGTTCGTTGTTGAGATATTGGAAAAAGAATCCCTGCCAAGAAGGAGGCGCCAAAGTGCAAAACGTACGACCGCCGTCACCATGCCTAACTGTGGCCCAAGCAGATTGTGGAAGTTGGCAGGGCTGCCGCGATGGACCGAAACAGGTTCCCGTCTGCCGGAAATATCATATAGATCATTCCTATCGCTGTAAACACCAGGCCCAAAGCTCCGAACGAAGTTGCCGCAAGTTGCCTGGTCCAATCGTTCGGGGGGTCGGTTGAACGGAGAGCCAGAGTAACGAGTTTTTCAAGCCTTTTCCGGTGCTTCTCTCAAGTTGCTTGCCACGACGCAGCACCCCCCCCCCCCCAATTGGTCACAAATGCTTTTCTTTGTTTGGGGAAGAAGAAAAGTAGCTGCCATGATTCCTGCAACCCCGGCACAGAGCCAACAAGTACCCACGGGACGACCCAGTCTCGTGTTTGGCTCCCTGTCCGCTCACCCGGTACACTGGCTGGTTGGTACCAGGACCTCGGACTCGGGCCGGCACATGCCGCTAGTGCAGAGTACGTCCGTGCATGGATGGATGGGTATAAGAGCTTGGTCATATGGGTACGCGCAAGTAGGTGGCCTGAAGAAGGCAGAGGGTCCTTAGCTTGTTGGGTAATCCCGGAGGTAATTCTCCGGGTGAGGATAGGTTTCGGAGAGTGAGGTGTTGGGAAAGGGGATGGGGTGAAGACGAGAGTCCGAATCAGCGGGGAAAGAGTGCTTTGGAAGAGTGACTATTTCTCGCCATGTTTGCATCCCTGGTTTGGCTTCACTCCGCAAGCCTAGGAAATTGGGTACAGTCGCTCACCTACTGACGGTGGATCCTGTCTGATGGTTCTGTTTGCAGTAATTTGCCCTTGGCGTCCACAACCAAACTCTGTTATTGGCCTCAGATCCCTGACAGGGTCCGCCTTCACCCCGTGAGTGAGTGTACCTACTCTAATTTCTCGGGAGGGATATATTTAGACCGGATCCAAAGACCAATTACTGACAGCTAGCGGTAACTACTGCCTGCGCTCGTACCGAGAGATGTATCTCCTGACCAATGAGATACTGAGGGTATATGTCGGGGTAAAGGACCAGCATTAATTCCAGAGCCCTGGCACCTACGAAAACTCGTGGGTGCATGGGGAAACACTGTGAAACTGTGCAACTGTAACCAGGAAAGAACACTCTCCACGTGCTGAAGGAAACCGGGAACAGATAATGTGCAGGACCGATAACGTCACATCTTAGGGACCTTCTCTGGACGACCGGACCAGAGATGCTCTTGCTCGGCCACGTGCATATCATGCCCGCGTGGTTACAATATTTTCAGTCAGCAATAACAGGGGTCGAGCACTAAGATTCGGAGGTTGAAATAAGCAATTGGTGAACGACGTAGGTACTGTCGTTCACGGGGTATTGGTGGATACTGGGTATTGGCGAATTGCAGGTAAAATTTGGCTTGGCTGTCTCTTTTTTTGCCCTGTCCACCATCACCCAGTATCCGCCAATACCCCGTGAATGACAGTAGCCAGGTGAATGATAAGGCTATCCCCAAAGGACAAAAAAAGAAAAGAGCAAAACCTTCTTCTCCTTTATGCGTGTAACTAAGGGCCCGCCTAGGAGCGGCCCAAACCGGAGTTATTTTTTTTTTTTTTGGGGGGGGGGGGCAAAACGGAGTTCTAGTTAAAACTCCGTTCTGAGAAAATGAATAGTGTTTACCATTTTGCGGGTCCAGAAAACAACGCTAGCTCAACCAAAACGGGTTTTTTAAATAGGACCTCCTACCTGCTTTTTCCCACAGCAACTGCAACTGACTATCGATGCAGCCACTACAACGGTTGCCATCATCAACATATCATAGCACTCCCAAAGATTTTCGATAAGGGACATCAAGCAAAACTTTGTTTCCTACAGTGGCCGGCTCCAAACGGGTCCCAATTGACTATCCAGGTCAGTGTCGATAATTCTCTCCCCTTTGGAGGGGGGGACATCTATTTACCTACACGCGGCATCCTATCATGAGGTTAAATATATACTACCATACCTTGGCGAATGTGCAATTAAACAGGGGCTCAAATTAATTCCCGGTAACTTCCTCCTAACTGCTGGCGGGTTGCAATGGAGCTCTCATGAGATCGTGGTGAGGTGCTGAACACGCCTCAAGTCTGTTGCCATCCGAGTGGATTTAGGACGGTACGTTAAGTAGACTGGCTCTTTCTATGTTAGGTTGCATCTTAATGGATAGTTTTTGAAGTAACTTGGGAGGTGGATTCTTACATGTACTTGTAGTTACTTTCATTCGTGACGACAAGAGGGGAGAGAGATGTAGTCTTCTCTGCTCGTGTGAGTACAGAGATTTCTAATGCAGTACTTGTACTCTTGGCAACGTACGACGTACATTCCCTACATGTAGTATTCATCTCCGAGCAGGGATATATTACCTAACCCTCGTTACTTATTAGGATTAGTGTGAATTGCAATATGGGATTAATTAGCACAGTATCAAAATATAGACGCCTTCTTCCGCCGGAACACCCCCCTCGCTGGAACAGATATTTATCTGTTGATATCTTAGTAGTGATAAAAACCAGTTCAAGAGGTAAAGAGCCCAATTCCAACGTCGATATTACTTCTGGTGCTAGTCGAAACTCTTCCGTATAGTGCATGTCCAACAGATAATCATGCCTAGGCAGAATGTCCGATTATCGTTTTTTTTTGCTAAAGATATAATTAATTCAGAATCTCACACGCCAAAGATAGCACGTTATATGAGAACAGCCACTTCTGACAACACGATTGTGAAAGTCAATCACAAAATATCACTCGCATAGCGAAATTGGAAGAGCTTACTCCGTGTTGATTGATTAATTAACCATTCATTCGTGAGTTACTCCCTGTTGGAGATTATAGCGTTTTTGGTTTCCTTGGGTGGTCAGGTGTAGAGTACACATGCTGTCTTTAATACATTAGTCGAAGACGATTCACGAATTTCATAGGGCTTTCTAAGAACACATGGTAATTCTGATTACGTGGCTACGGTTAATAGTGTGCGTTCAATGATTCCTCTTTCGCTGCTTGAACTTGTTATGAGAACGCGTTAACAATCCTTAGTAGACAACTAGGAAGTTTGGCGTCTGTCGGTTCTTGTGGCCAAACACCGAACAGCTCAGGTCCAGGCCACAAATATATACGCCCAACTCATCTAGTGCTGGGTTACTTAGGAGGATCAGGAAAAACTATTTTACTCCGCACGTAGTTTTTTATATCCGCCAGACCAAGCACATAAATATAAAAATAAAACTCTTCTGTACTAGCAGCGAGTGATATCGTGTGATTAACTTGCCGGGATATTGCTATAAGGTTAGCACCCAACCATCGATATCGATACCGACAACCCCTTGTGAGGTACAAGGCTGCAGCATAATTGTGTAAGATATCAACATAACAATAGGCTCTTGTCACCTTCTTTCCTTGTTAGCATTGTCTCGATGGCTCATATATGTATGGATGAGTTGAGTCTTGTGATGTCGAACTAAGGGGCCTACGGGACCATGTAGGGGTATTCCCGGTTCAGAAGTGGATCTGATGTGATTGGGCAGGAGCGCATCTGATCCGCCGGAAAGGATGTCAATGACACTACTGCAGCTGACTGGAGGAAGGGTACCTGGCATAGTTGGTTTATGTGCAACTGAACCTACAAGGAATCGTATATATATCCAATGGTGGGGTACGACTGGGGGAGAACGACAAGGGACCATACTAGGATAGTAATCTTCATATGTAATCAAGAGCTAGCGGTGCTGGTCAATGATCTCTTGTTCCTCCTCTTTTCTCCGTGTATCGATCAGCAAAACTCAAACAATTGGCACTTCTTATGTGCCGCTCGCAGGCTTCGCCGCATATTTTCTCACCCTCTTTCTAGATATGTAGATCTACAAGGTATGGACTACATACCTCTAAGAGGGGGCGTTGCTTCGGGGAGATCACCCCCCCCCCCCCCCGGGGGAATAATAGGCACAGCACATGTAGAATATATAGACCTCGCTGCATATATAGAGTACAGTGAGCGGTAAGGTTATTGTAGAAATGTGGGATAAATCCTATTCGCCCAACCAGGTATACAAACCCTGTTTCCAGAGTCTATCTTACACGATATAAAACCTTAGTTGTGATAGTTACCAGTTCTTGCATGTTGGGGTCTCGAGTACCCCGAGCTAGTACATACAAGTATCGTGTAGTCGTTAATCCCGGGCTGAAACTGCATCTTAGCAAATCGCAAGCTATCCGACTGTCGCACAGTGTTCTGCTAGTAATATACCTAAGTCCTTTTTCCTTTTGCCTGTTGCAGGGCACAGAACTATTACTGGAAGCTCGGCGCTCTTGGTTTTCGTCCCGTTTTATAGTGCAAACCGATTGAAGAATAACCTTTAGCGAGTAGGATGTTAAGGCTTTCTCTTCAATAAGAACCGAGACCAACCCATGAAGATCACAATTTCGACATCAGTTTGTGCGGCCGATGATCTTTTGAGTCTTCTGGCTACTGTTGTGAGAGATTTTCTTGTACAGCTTACCCTCAAAGGAACCAGAAAATGCAAGTAACGGAAATAGGGATTATTTGTATGAGAGAACGACGCCACTCCATACAAATTATCCTTGCCATGAGCAACTGCATTTTCTGGTTCTTACGCTGGTAAGCGTGTACTCTATCCCTTGCCATTTGGAACCAGATTTCAATGTATCGTGGCCTCAACCGACGAATAGGTGACAGCCTAGTCCTTTCTTCCACCTCTTCCTACTCTTTCGTTGAACCTCTCCATCATCCGCATCTTATCTTGTCCACTACTAATGTGAATGTCCACTCTTGAGATCCCTGGACCCTCTCTATGCTCGCTAGACCTTCTGGTATGTAGCTGGATTTCTGAGGAGTACAAGAGTGAAACCGCTCGTGGAATTGCTCTAAGCGAGATGTCGAAAAACCTGCTTGCTTCTTCACGACAGTGGGAATCTATCGACAAAAATTCTCAGGTGCATATCGAAAATCTTTGTGTGACAAGTCTTCCCAGCTTCTAGACGTTCAAGCGAATGGAAGTGACGCTCGGTGCAGCTCTTGCAGTTGCTGGATCTCCTTGGCGCGTGACACCTAACCCAGAAAGGAACGCCAGGTTTTACCAAGGGGGAAGCTTAAGATCGTTCGGGATTAGCTGCACATCACAAGTGCAGGAGAGAGCGAACCCTTCATCCCCCAGGATCCCCCCTCCATCATCCAAGTGCACCACCATGTGCGTCGCTAGTCTACAGTTACCACTTCAGGCGCTGGAAGGAAATCTTGAGTTCTTCTATTTGCACTGTGGCGCTCATATTGGCCAATGGGAGCACCTGGCATTTGCAGAGTGGATGCTTATGGAGACCAAACTCACGCAGGGTCGCATCCGCCCAGTTATTAGGCCGACATACCGCCCATAACACCTTATCAACTGTCGTCGACATGGTCTCCACGTTTGTCTTTCATCCCCGCATGAATAAGGGTGGGAGTTCGAAAAACAGATCGGACGGAGAACGTGCGGAGAGATATCAGCCCGGCCCTCTCTCCGTGATGTAGACACATACGTACTGAAGGAGAACATAGATGTCTAAGACGCGAAAAATAAAAAAATTAAAAAAAGGGGGCACCGAGATAAGACGAACACATCAGATACGCATCAAAGGCGTTTTACGCCACTTACGTGATTTGAAATGGACTGCGCATGATGGAATTGAGATGGAAGCACGCAGCCATGATGACCTAGATCACCTGTAAATCTAAAGCCTCTGCTACATCATGATTCTAGAGAGCGACAGCGTAATGTAGGAACTAGGATCTACCTCTGTTCTAAAATTACATCAATCTTAGGCTCTCTGGCCGCTGTTATTCTGGCAACGGACTTCCCGTACAGTATACTCACAGATCCAGCGTTACAAAAGATAGGTAATGGTTCAGGGATGAGGGCTAACTTTTTGGCAAGGCCTTCCGCATGAGACCCACTAAGAGGGGGGAGTTCAAGCGGAATATTTAGCTCATCCGCCCAGTCTGAAGTGTGGGAGATCGACGATGAGACAGCTAGAATAGTGCGCCTACTCTACTCTAGAGTAGAGCACATAGGTACTTTACGTGTTCTAGAGTGTGTGCTCTCATCTATTGACGGATTGAACCAAAAAGAGGGAAAAATAGAGTAGACATGCAAGCTCTTTCTATTGGCGTAACCCCACCCCTTGTCCGTCAATACGATAGTAGATACATGTTTCTCTACGTTACCCTACAGGAGAGTAGGTGCATGTGGGTCAAACTCAATGGGATCGTCTGGTCGCATTCAGGATGAGACAGAGCAATTGTTCTTTGCAAGAAGCCACAAGTGGGTATATGCTCCGTTTGGTGGCATCTGATCGGAGGTTCGGAGAATTTTAGAATTCTGGAAGCAATGCCGATTACACTCAAACCCACTGGACCGGCAGTTGTTGGTTGGATATGTCAAACTGATTGGGTATGATCTCATGCAGTCATTGAGCTGTTGCGGGAGTGCAGACCATGATCATCAAAATACATACATGTTTGTGTAGGCATCTGGTTACTTACTCAAGCTCTGTGCAAAGTCTTAGTGATATCTCCCGACAAAGCTGAGATAGATTTCGATAGCTGTTGTCGTTGATTTCTAATATCAAAACCCAATGAAATCTCGGTATCGGGGGCGGAAGCGGAGGTTTAATGATCAAAGTGTTCTACTTTACGGATTCTAGATTTCATATGATAGGTCTCGGTCCATAGATATTCGGGGCGGCTCCAGAAGATCTACCGGACGTCGGTTCTTCTTATCGTTAACCTCTTTTGGCTCTCCGGGTATTAGGCTATTTGGTCCGATACCCTTGACCATAAACACTGATGAGTTGACACATTTTAATCACCCACAACCAATGACAGGCGCCCAAAATGTTTCTCAAGATCTTGGACGATCCTCGACTAAACTGTTCAAGTACCGACTCAAAATCTTACCTATTCACACCTCCGTACTATACCATAAAGTCGTAGAACCTAGGTACCTAGTTACGGTAAATCCCGAGTGAAAGCTGCGCTAATGTTAACTATTGGTGAGTGGACGAAAAGCAAAGAAAAAAAGGGACCAGAGCGTTACATATGCATCCCTGAAGGCCAACAGCTAGCTATCAAGTTAGTGTTATTGTGGAGAAAAAGGGTAATCATGGTGTAATAAGCATATCTGCTGACAAAACGCCACTGACCCTATTATATACAAGTACCTCACACACCCTTCAGGGACCACTTTTTAAAAGGCTTTTTTTTTCACATTGGGAAACATTATCTAGCAACGGCGCGCGTCTGGCAGATGTAGAGTGGTATCTGTGGACGACTCATCACGAAAGCTAAAATGACTACCATAGACACTACCGGCGGCTCACAGTCAGTGCCCAGCAGGGCGCCGCTACTATTGGGCGTTGAGATATCTTTACTGATGTTGGCATTTTTAGCTACGGCGCTGAGGACGGGTTTGAGGAAGACAACCATGGGAAGAATAAGGATGGAGGATTGGTGTTGTATTGGGGCTACAGTGAGATCTGCCTGAGTCCATAGTAGTACTCATAACGATTTCTGACATGGCAAGCTGTGTTTAGATAGTACTAATCAACATGGTGGTCGTACACGCATTAGGTCAGTATATGGTCCCTCCTGACGGTTCCGGTCTTGGCTTTATGGGGGTCATTGAAAAAAGAAGCTAATATCAATATATTAGGTACACGTCATGGCATTGGGATGCACATTTGGGACCTGAATCATGCAGGAGATGAAGATTTAATTATGAACCTCAAGGTACGAAAACCTACATCTACCTGCTTTGTGATTCTTTGAAACATCTAACAATACCCTACGTATACAGACTGCCTACATCGGCCGTATCTTTTACCCATTCGCAACAGGTCTTACTCGCCAGTCTGTTCTTTTCCTCCTATTACGTATCTTCCCGCATAAGGTTTTCCGCAGAATCTTAATTGTTGTGGTGGTCATCAACGCCCTTGTTTCAGTCGGTTCTTGCCTTGTAGTTGCATTCCAATGCAGCCCTATCCATACTGTCTTCACGTCAACATCCTACGAATATCGTCCAAAGTGTTTAGACGGTCAAAACCTGGCACTGGCTATACCTTCAATGAATGTTATTTTGGATTTGACAGTTGCCATATTACCGGTCAGAATGGTTTTGGATATGAGTTTACCTACAAAGAGTAAAGCTTTTATCTTGGGAATGCTAGGACTAGGAGGATGGTGTGTAGTACTGTTTCTCATTTGTGTTAATTCTTATATACTGACATCTTATTGAAGTGCATGCGTGGCAAGCGGCTTGCGGCTGTTCTATATCCACCGGGGGTTTCAAAGCCAAGATCACACATGTAAGTTTAAACACTTACTCCTTAACTGATTGATAACTTACAGAAAATGCTCTATAGGGGAAGCTGTGCCCATCTGTATCTTGGCCGTTGCCGAGGCCGCAATGGGGATCATCGCCGTCAGCGCACCCGCAATTCGCCCAATGCTAAAAGGAATGAACATCCACATCTGCTCCCTCCATATTAAAACAAAATCCGACCGCGACTCCATCAGCGATCTCCGAACAACCAAAACCGGTGCCAACGGTACAAAATCATCGTTCGCACTCGGGAGTATCAAACGGCCCGAGAAATCAAAAGTGCGACTACAAATGCGGGATGGAGGATCCGTGGAGAGGTTCAGACCGAATGAGATCAACAGGACCATTACCGAAATTGAGGCTGGTCAGGACCTCGAGAACCAGGATGACATAAGAGGTGACACGGGGCACGAAGAGCGGGAGGACTTTGCACCACGGCCTGGTTCGGGCGGCGGTCAGGTGATTGTGAGGAGGATGGAGGTTGCGGTGACGATTAGCGATCGACGGGTTTGAGTTGTTTTGCCTTTATCGCAAGCCTGGGCGTTTATGGTGTTGGTGTTTTCTTTTATTTTCTTCCTTTGTGGAGTCCTTGTCTTTCGATTTTCTTCTTACGTTATAGATATAGTTAGTGACGTGCCCTGTGGTAACTGATTTTGCCATTGAGGTATGTATGTAAATTTCTGGTGGTTGTGGGTGGTCAATGATAGCGTGAGCGGGAAAATCTGCAGCGACTATGTTGTGATGAGAATAAATATTTATGATGTTCTCTAAACGACCCTACTTTATTGCGAATGGCTTGGACTTTTCATCGATGCATTACATGTTCTAGACATTCACAGTCATCAGTTTGTACATTGCGCAGAAATCTTTTGTGTGTAGGATTGTGAGATTGGTGCAAAATATTCAAGAAATTACCTGTGCTATTTGTCTCGTAAGATTGGAGACAACAATTCATCTCACTAGACTCGCCTAGGGAGAAGCGAAATATATGGATCCCACCCCCATCTACCATTTAAGTAAAAGTTGAAATGAGAATAAAATAAGAGAGGCACCCGCAACCTCTGCTTATAGATTGTACAATATATATTCCCTTTGAATGCAGCGTTTTGACTATTTGTGATTTGTGTCTATACCGTATTCAGCTTATAAAAACTTATGATAGTCGCAGTAGTCGGTCGTTAGCTCAATTGATCAAACAGTTAAAGATAACTGTTTCTTAAATCTGTAAAAGAATATATATAATTTTCTCAAGCCACCGGGTCATCATTTTCATGGTACTACCCGTGTATCGCCTAGCAAGAAAGTGCCCACTAGAACATCTAGGCCGGACAGCGAATATCCACTGCATTACCCGGAATTTCTTTTCTTGGGCTCACTCCCTGGAAAGGACAGAGACGGTATAATATATGTATATAGGTTTGGGGCGGGTATGGGTGTGGTAATTGTGCTTGTGTCCAACTTACGATCCAGCGCGAGTGATATTCTATGACGTTCATTCCTATTTTGAAATGGAAAATCCCTTGTTGGTGATATGGAGTCATCTGCAAGCGATTATTCTCACCACTTTCAACAATTGAGTTCAGTTTTGGCACTAGCACAACGTGTAGATCGGTAGTCCCGGAGTCCACAGAAAATATCTGTTGCAAAGCTTGGTATCAGTGGTGAGGAGATGAGATTGAATTGCATATCAGGGTGGATGGTTATGGCCATACTTTCAAGGTCGCTTAAGTTGATGTATCTCGGAAATTGGCTGAGAAGATGTTTGAGCAGGCGTTAAAGAGCGCTGGATCTACCACAACCGGAGTCGGAGATACATATCGATGGTGGTTCTTGCTTGCCCCGTTGGTCGGGAGTGAAGGGCGTCTAGAGAAATGTGCCCATGGGACTGATACGATAAGTCGTCTCTAGAGGTATACCTGGACATTCCCGGCGCTCACCTGGATGCTGGCGCCCAGGAGCCGGGTATGCGTGTAAGATAGCTTGTTAAGCATCAGTTTCGGGGGTTTGCCAAACAGTGTACGTGGCGAGTGGTGCAGTTGGTCAAAGTTTCATTACATGTAGTGTGAATGTGGCCCTAGACTATCTGTACTTTCGTCTTAAAGTCATTTTGTCCTCTAAACTGTACCTATAAAGAGGGGGTCTTCTCTCCCTCTTCCTTTGTTTTGATCATCGGTTCTTACATACAACTTCAATTCCTCGGTTCTCTACTATTTGAAGACCATCTCCAAACTGTACGTTAATGATCCCTATGATCCCTACTCCTGGGTATAGATGCGATATAAGAGACTCTAGGCACCGTCAATACACGCACCAGTACCCCAATTGACCCATGGATAAAGAGCGTGGTCCTGTGATTAGGCATGCATTTCTTTGATAACATGTGGATTGCCCGTCCATCATCTCAGTTCATCCCAGCGCTAGAGAGCGGTGGTGGGTCAGGCAAAGGTTCTTTCTCGGTGAGTGATAATCTATGATTCGAATACAGCTCACCGGTCACGATGCCGCAAAAATCGAGAAATTTCATTGAAAGTTAGCGGAGTGGATATGTTTATATACAATAGATCTTTAGGATTGATACTCGAAGATACCCCTCATGCTCACCTACCTGTCTCTTGCTGAGTAACGAAATTCTTCGGTAATGCGGCGGGTTGAAACTTAGAAAGATGTACTAGGTAAAAATGCGGTGTGTTTTGGGGGTTTATGGGCATCTAAAGGTTTAGATTAATTAGGTGAGCTCAGAATCTACTTGACTATCATGCCATGATTCCCCGAGAGGCTTACTTTACCGTACGGGTTATGACGAGGACAAATGAATTATACGGCTATTGTCAGCTCTATTAGCTTCCAACCAGAAAGATTAAACCTATATCCGCTCAATAGAGGTGCTATATGGTTGGGATAATGAGAAAGGTCTTTGAAGCGCTATAAATAACTTTTCTTCATGCACTAGCACTCGAAAGCTCGTCGCCACTCTGGCTAATTTGACCATTCAAGACCCTAACTAACAAATCGTTCACTCTCAGACAATTCACTATCATAAACTGTATATAGAGAGATGACAAACACGGCGACATATAATGGCTACCAATCACCACCTTGAGGACAGGATATGGAGGAAAGAGAAACGGCATATTCATGGCCAGTATTCTAGAAGATGGCCATGCATGCAGGCCATGGGTAAATGGGACGCAGTCACCTAATTACACCGGTGAATACATATAACGGGAGCCAGGGAGATGCTTACATGTCTTCCTCTAATTAAGTAAGTCATGACATTACATTTAAATAGCTAATTAGAAACAATATCTCTCGTTGTCTTGCCGTTTCTAAGAAAGTACATATAGTTTACCTGATACTATATCGCGGTACGTGCCATCGGGAATCTTAATATAATAGCCTAACGTAACGCCTAATTCTCCAGGTTTTGACAGCTACTCACTTCAAACAGTCCCGACAATTTGGTATTAAAAGATACTGGCTGATGTTTGGCCATTTAAACATGAGACCCTATGAATCTGACGCAGAATTCCCCCTTGGATCTCCGTAAGTCGTTTCATGACAATATTTTATATCCATCTGGCTGGAAAGGCTAGTTAAATGTCCATTTTAGAGTATATATACAACATTCTCCGCGTTCTCGGGTTTTGATTTTAGTTATAAAGCTATTCCAACGGGCTATTCTGTGCGTGGTTTTCATGTGACGATTTTCCATTATAATATTTGACACGTGATCAACAGCTTCGACTGATATTTCTCGCATCAAAGAAGAAGGTGTCGAGAGCTGACTAACCACTTTTGATACTCTTCGATAGTTCTTATACCAGGGATAGTGATAGAACCAGGTACCAAACAAATGGGAAAAGCTATCTATTTTCATATCTATTCAATCTTCTGGATCTTTGGGGAACGTGGCTAATTCTGACATAAAGATTGCCTTATTTCTCTTAAAGCCCAAACCCTTGATTGCGGTGATAACGTACTACCTAAGGAATCCGTCTAGAAGGCCTACAACGAGCAACCGGTAAAGGACACGCCTTCACAAATGAGTAACGGCAAATCAGCTGCAGATATATCAACACTAAAGCCGATGTCTCCTCCTAGTCCCGGCGCATCTCCCCCACAGTATGCACAAGAGCTCCTCCTGCATCGTGCATGTGTGTCCAAAACCTAAATACCTTCCTTTTTTCGAACGCTTTCAAACCAACGTCCCATATTTTCTCCAATATATTCCTTGCCTAGATTTTCAGGTGTTCCTCCAATCTTGCTGCTTTTGTTCTTCTTCTCCATTTCACACCCCTCTTTCTTCGGTATTTACCCCGAACTGGGACTTCATGATGTGGCTGCTTGGCTTTGGCTTGGCTGGAATCTGCTACACATAACGGGGAGGAGCATACGGGTACAAGCTGTCAGATACATATTACAATTATCAGTGACACCTCTAATGGTTGCTTATCCGAAAAGATGGCCGAATATTTACTCCTAGAGTGGTCAACTCCTAAAAAGACACCGGAGGGCACCGATGTGAAACCTACAACGCCCTCACCGCACTGCGCGGCGACGCATCCTCTACTCTAGCTAAGGGGGTTAGTATGTAGAAGCCTTTGAGACAGCGGAGATACTCAACTGCAAAACACCGTCACGTGCAGGTGTCCTGTACGTCAAATCCCCCGCGTACAGCGGCTAGGTATCCGGATGAAATTGGACCCACGCATGTACTCTGCCCTCGAGCATACATGTAGGTAGGATACTTTACATGTGCAATGCATGTGCTGGAAATACGTATGCTCTACTCTGCCTACCAATATGTACATGTATTCTATGAGCCTGAGAACTTCGATGTACTGCAGTTAGGTAGAGTAAGTGACTGTTCTAGAACGCATTCTCACACCACCATTGCGTAAAGTGCATGAAATAGAACCACAGCCCCGTCGTTTCGACAGTAAGGCAAACTATGTATTCGATACTTATCTCTGCGGCTGGGGGTGCAAGTTATTTTTGAGAAAAGATACCAGCAGCCGTGGGGAAGCAGTTGGTCACACATGAGATAGAGATAAAGATAGGGTGATTCCATGGCCACCAGCTGGTTGGGGTTACACACATGCGCGGCGATCACATCGGCAAATTTGTGGATATGTACTAGAGAGGGATTTTGCGCGGTGGATTCGAAAGAGCGCAGGACGGCATTAGAATTTCCCACTGATGCTGGAGGGATAGAAGGTATTTCTGGAAACCGAAGAAGGTAGGATGCTGATGAATTAATGAAAATGAGGTGAGTGAAATAGGTACTATATCTTCAGGGCTACAGTACCTACATAGGGCCCTTGTCGAGAGGCTGACTGGAATGCTGCTGAGGCGCGCGTAGAGTAGATAGCAATGTATTTTGAAGATACGAAGGCCTAGGGCGATCGCGATACCTAGAAGTCGTTGTGGTGGCCAATATGGGTTGCCTTTGCAATTGGCTATCATGTATCTCTGTGTGCCTTGTGTGTGTTTTTATTTTTTAGATGGGTAGC